TCCTCGCCCAGCCGAATCATGGTTTGATAGTCATTACTTGAGCCCTTTGCTATTCTTGCGGCCATTTGTCGTATTGTTTTTGTTTTTTTTTTTCTTTTTGTGCCAAACCTTCAGCTGACCTGGGACTGGTCAGGCTATCGCTCTCCCTTACAACACTTGCCGGACTATCGGACCGATTAAGCAAAATTCCGCTAGGTAGGGAAAGGCCGCAGACTGCCATATGCTGTTTAGAATGATTAGGAAGATGAAAGTGCCTAGCGACTGGTTTGGATGCGTCCTTGTCATTTCTTTCCACGTCACGAAGGTGTTCTCGGAATCGGTCACCTAGTCGTCTCCCTGTTTAGCCGAAAAACGTTATTGACGACAATTCAGCATTACACGTTTTATTCTACGATCTATCTACGCTATTACGTATAACTAATCGTAGGGTGACGTGACCCACTTTCAGTCAGCGTTGATACTTGGCACTGGCCTTCCTGATAGGGGAAGTATTCAAATAACTAAACGCTCGTCATAGACATTGTAACCAAAGACTTCTTGCGACGTCAAAAAACAAAACGTCAAAAAACAAGTTGTATAACTTTGTATAAATTATATAAATTGTATATATGTTATTATATTGTATTGTGTTTGTATTATTTATATATATTGTATTAATTATATATCATATATATATAAACGTCAAAAAATAAGTTGTATAACTTATTGCAATAAATGCAAGTTATGCAGTGAATAACATTGGCGGAGGTACACGTAAAGTGATAAGTGATCTTAATGGATCTCCTGGGTCCCGATATTTTCTCTACGTTATGAATGAAAGAACAAGTTTTGCATCTTGAGCGAGCGCATTTGAAAGTTCCAGATTGGTCTTTTTTTGAAATGAACTCCTGACTAAAAAGTTGCTTATGTTTTTGTCGCGTTTGAATGAAATAAGTGGGCGTTAACAGTTAAATCTATCATTCTTAAAAATTTTAAATTACTCCAAAACGATACAGAGACTGGCACTACCTTTCGCAACACCCACTTCTTTCTGGTAGCGATCAAAACAACTTCTAAATTGCATTTTTATAAATTCAGCCAGCAAAATAAAACATGCAAAATAAATTTTCTCCCCTCACAATCGATAAATATTTGGCGGTATAAAATTTTACCTTTTACGGACATAGCAAAGTTTTTGACGTCGCGAGAAGTCTTTGGTTACAATTTCTATGACGTGCGTTTAGTTATTTGAATACTTCCCCTATCAGGAAGGCCAGTGCCAAGTACCAACGCTGACTGAAAATAGGTCACGCAACCCTCAGGTTAGATTGTAATAGAGTAGATAGATCGCAGAACGGAACGTGTAATGCTGAATTGTCGTCAATAAAGCCTGAATCATGAAAAAGTATACATTCCAAGATTATTGAATGAGCATGTGTGGAATTCTCAGCAACGCAAGTGGGAAATTCTGCGAAAATACAGATCTATGACTTTGATGAAGTTGTCGCAAGATGCTTCTTAATTTCATTTCTGGCGCGTATTGTGCGGTAATAAACATGAACCCAAATCGGGCATTTTGCTTTGTTTTTGCCCCTCTACTTCTACAAATTATCGACATGCAACAGCTGCAAATGTTTGCCTTTTCATCCTGTTTCAGAGATGGGTAAATGAATACAGGTAAATCCTGAAGTCGCTTTTATAAGAAGACCGCAGCACTTTCGTAGAATTTGTGTTGCGCCTTTCACATGGACCATTCCTCGCCCAGCCGAATCATGGTTTGATAGTCATTACTTGAGCCCTTTGCTATTCTTGCGGCCATTTGTCGTATTGTTTTTGTTTTTTTTTCTTTTTGTGCCAAACCTTCAGCTGACCTGGGACTGGTCGGGCTATCGCTCTCCCTTACAACACTTGCCGGACTATCGGACCGATTAAGCAAAATTCCGCTAGGTAGGGAAAGGCCGCAGACTGCCATATGCTGTTTAGAATGATTAGGAAGATGAAAGTGCCTAGCGACTGGTTTGGATACGTCCTTGTCATTTCTTTCCACGTCACGAAGGTGTTCTCGGAATCGGTCACGTTTGAATGAAATAAGTGGGCGTTAACAGTTAAATCTATCATTCTTAAAAATTTTAAATTACTCCAAAACGATACAGAGACTGGCACTATCTTTTCGCAACGCCCACTTATTTCTGGTAGCGATCAAAACAACTTCTAAATTGCATTTTTATAAATTCAGCCAGCAAAATAAAACATGCAAAATGAATTTTCTCCCCTCACAATCGATAACTATTTGGCGGTATAAAATTTTACCTTTTACGGACATAGCAAAGTTTTTGACGTCGCGAGAAGTCTTTGGTTACAATTTCTATGACGTGCGTTTAGTTATTTGAATACTTCCCCTATCAGGAAGGCCAGTGCCAAGTACCAACGCTGACTGAAAATAGGTCACGCAACCCTCAGGTTAGATTGTAATAGAGTAGATAGATCGCAGAACGGAACGTGTAATGCTGAATTGTCGTCAATAAAGCCTGAATCATGAAAAAGTATACATTCCAAGATTATTGAATCAGCATGTGTGGAATTCTCAGCAACGCAAGTGGGAAATTCTGCGAAAATACAGATCTATGACTTTGATGAGGTTGTTGCAAGATGCTTCTTAATTGAAACAAAAATTTACATTTTTTACATTTAAATTTTTTTTCGATCTATTACTAGCCAAGCGAACAATATCAGGAATGTATCAAACAACTCACTGTCAAAGTTATGGAATTGATCGCTAGAATCATTTAACAGAGGATTTAAGGAATCGTTTTTGGAATCATTACGCAAGGACTTACCTAACCGCGACATGAACAGAAATTTGAATGTATTTTGATTTCTTTAGCAACAGACTCCTGCTGTGCACACTTTTCACGAATTTGTTCTAGCAACATCTCAAGCGGGTTACGGTTTATTACTCTTACGCAATGCAACAGTTGTGGATTTATTGATACAATAAATCTGCGTGGGAACATTCATAGAATGCATACTGCCTTAATTACTTCATAAAAGGTATTAATATCGAGCTCGGCTATATTGACACGCCCTCGCTAATTCTGATCGCTCTCAAAAATACGCAATAGTGGGACATTTTTCTTTCAGAAATTTTTCCTTCCTCTCAAAACTGAAATCGTACCTCATTTCTACCGGCTGAAGTCTGTTTTGTGTACTAGTTAATCTTAGAGTCGAGTCGTTTTTAAGCAATATTTAGGTTGACCCCCTTGAGAAACTGAATATTTCTTCGACGATTCTGTAGATTAAATTACTTTATTAAAAATTTACAGTTCTTTAGAGTAATTTCATGTGAGTGACATACTAACACCTGCTTAGAAATGTTTATTGTTAATATAAAAGTATCACAAATCTTAGAGGCATTAATCACTACAGTTAGGTAAGCAGGTATGTATTAACTATCGCAATTTATGTTGTAACAACGGATTTTTTAACTTCTGATAATGTTAAGAGTCGAATTTGAGTTATTTCAGTTATTACTTCTTTAAATGAAATCCGGAAATTATAAAAAAAAAAAAAAGTACGTAAACCATTCATGTTTACTTTCGGCTCAAGAAATTACCTTGACATTCATTTATTTCTCGACTTTTCCTTGCAAGGAAATCTTCCAGCGCTTGGTTTTTTCAGTGAAGAAGAACATCCAGCAATCCTAGTGTTCTACTCAAATTTCAAAGTGGTCTCAAGTTTACGACTAAACTCGCTCAAAACTAGCACGCAATGTTTACACCGTTCGTCCTCAATGGTTTTACGAGGCGTTTCCACTGAATGAACTACTCTATCGATGTGCTTGCTCCGCTAGCAGTTAACACTAAACCAATGTACCGTAACCAATAATTTTCTTGTTTGTTATTGCAAGGATGGAAAGAGAGGTAGAGAGGAACAAAACTCTCCCGCTAGCTGCTTTCTGTGGACCCTATCATGTCACAGGCCGGATCAAAGTCTAGTCTGTCACTCGTTGGATATAAAACAAATTCGAGGATCTTTCGGATGTTATCAAATATGCGTTCTTTTCCTAGATACTGTATTTTAAGACGGAAATATTGTCGTCGTTTATATTTTGGGTAGACAATCGCCACTATAAATGACTTTTTTAAAGATTTTGTTATTGAACTACCGATCGTTTGAAACCGATAACATTGTAAGGGCGAAGTGACGCAAGTAAATACTCACGGCCAGCATGACACTAAGCATTAAGGGGTAACTGACGGCTAAAAAGTCACGTTTTCGGAATACCGCCATAAGTGCTTTGAATTTGATCATGTGGCTTGAACATCACACGTTTGTACACTTAGCAAAGTAAATATGGAGGATAGAACTTCTAGTGAGTGCAGTTCGATTTCGAGGTCTAATAATTCGGATTTTAAGGCCTCGATGGAAGGTGAAAATATTGATAGGGCTCATGCTTAGTGGCTACTCAGCCGAAGCGAGGAATATCACGCCACAGAATGTCATTAATACCTTAAACTCGCTCAAAACTAGCACGCAATGTTTACACCGTTCGTCTTCAATGGTTTTACGAGACGTTTCTACTGAAGGAACTACTCTATCGATGTGCTTGCTCCGCTAGCAGTTAACACTAAACCAAAGTACCGTAACCAATAATTTTCTTGTTTGTTATTGTAAGGATGGAAAGAGAGATGGAGAGGAACAAAACTCTCCTGCTAGCTACTTTCTATGGACCCTATCATGTCACAGGCCGGATCAAAGTCTAGTCTGTGGTCTCTTGACAAATAAGTTTTCCGCGTTGTTCTTCCTGTTTGACATTCTGATCCTTCCAAACAAATTGCGTAATTTTTAAAATCAAAGTAGTCTACTTTCCACGAAAAAAGCTGAATTTAAATTAGTTTTCCAGAAAAGACAAACCCCACTTACTGTGAATGTGACTGTGACTCGCGCAGGCGCAAAGCTGAAATCGATGACTGGGAAAGTCCCAATCATCACGTGACATTCTTAAAGAAATAAATCAATGCGAAGCGTTACGCTCGATATTCTTACTGTTCACCAGCTAGAGCCATGGATTGCTCAGCTGAGGAAATGTGGGAGAAGTTAAGGTGCCACCGGGTGCAAATTGTTCAGGAGCTTCGCGTCGACCGATGTGTCCTTTTCGATTACTTGCGCAGCAAGGACGTCTTCGACGCCGAAGACTGTCAGATTGTGCATGTAGAGAGGACAAACGAACAGAGAGCCAGCAAGCTTTTGGATATTCTTGCGACTAAAGGAACGAAAGGTCTGCAGCATTTCATCGATGTTTTGCAGCTCTTAAACCCAGGATTGTACGAAAAGCTAACTGGACAGAGAGTTACACCAAGTAAGGACAACTTTTATAATTTGTCACTCGTTGGATATAAAACAAATTCGAGGATCTTTCAGATGTTATCAAATATGCGTTCTTTTATTAGATACTGTATTTTAAGACGGAAATATTGTCGTCGTTTATATTTTGGGTAGGCAATCGCCACTATAAATGATTTTTTTTAAAGATTTTGTTATTGAACTACCGATCGTTTGAAACCGATAACATTGTAAGGGCGAAGTGACGTAAGTAAACACTCACGGCCAACATAACACTCAGCATTATGGGGTAACTGACGGCTAAAAAGTCACGTTTTTGGAATACCGCCATAAGTGCTTTGAATTTGATCATGTGGCTTGAACATCTCACGTTTGTACACTTAGCAAAGTAAATATGGAGGATAGAACTTCTAGTGAGTGCAGTTCGATTTCGAGGTCTAATAATTCGGATTTTAAGGCCTCGATGGAAGGTGAAAATATTGATAGGGCTCATGCTCAGTGGTTACTCAGCCGAAGCGGGGAATATCACGCCACAGAATGTCATTAATACCTAAATGGAATGCATATTCATTAATATTCATGGCCTCTTGACATCCAGACGATTGCATCAGCAAATATTTTCAAGAGAAATTTGAAACACCCATCGAATAGGCAATAAAGCGTTTGGCTAAAGAGAGAGAAAACCGCACATAGTTAGTTTAAGATGACGTCCAAGTCCAATGCAAATGAGTTTTGTCCTATGTCAATGTTATCCAATCTGCTTAAGACTCACGAAGCTGTCCAGATGACATTCGAACCTGCGATGCATTTAATTTCTATACAAGAAAATATCTAGGACGTTTTGATGCCCTTTTAATGTGAGCTGTGCGCCCGCCCTCCTTCTCTTCCCTACCAAAAATTCATGGATTTTATCAAATGCTGGAAGCAACTCTAACATACTGCTCCCTTGAAAATTATTTAATTATGTTCATCTGGAGAGAATCCGATAATCGATCATAGTAAATACATCGAAGTCTGTGTCAGCAGACACCCAGTGGCCCCTTGCTAGTGTCCGCATGACGCTAAAATTTTCGATCTGCCAGAGCTTAAACTGTCACGTTATTGGCTACTCTACAAACCCTGATGTTTTATATCTCCTCCCCCTCAAAGTAAGAGTTTGCTATAAAGGAATGGAAAAACAAATTTGATTGAATCATGAAAAATCTATGGTGAAACCCTCTCGTGTGTCATATGAGGGCTTCCTTTTAGTCCCGTGGCTGCTTAGGAGCAATAGTCTGACTTTCGAACTTTTTAAAAAAATCGCAGCCACTTAACCTTACCGATTTGGCTGAAATTTGGCATGAAGGCTAATTTTAGGGTCCTAACCACGAAATAGGTATTAAAAAGTTCCATTTGTTTTTGCTTGGTAAAAAATCGATAAAGCCAACCACGTCCGCCCATCCTTGCCCGCCAATATGGCTTATCGAAGGTGTTCTTATGACTTCGACTTTAGCCCTCTCGCATAGATTTCCTAAAATCTCTTGAAATAAATAAAAAGATCTACCCTTGTTCTTAACATTTATTAGAAAAAATGTGGGAGATAGCAGATTTTGATTACAGGTTATCTCAACGTTTGAAGGTCGTTTTGGGCTGCCTTGAACAGTAAAAAATTTACCCTAACTTGTCAGCCTGATATCTCCAATGTTACCTCGATCCAGAAGTTGCCATTTATTTGGAACAATGTTTGTTTATGGACGATTTGATTCCATTAATAAAAAAATGGGGGAGATTTAAAGGTCAAAGGAGAAAAGTTATTAATCTATGATGACTTACCTATATTTGGGACCGGCAGCTTGCCGGTCAGAAGTCGGTCCAAGTACTTACTTACTTATCCAAGTACTTACCGGTCCAAGTACTTATTTCGTCCAGAATGAAAGCAAATTCCAGAAGATTTTCTAATATTACGGAAGTATCTGTTGATTTTGGGCAAAAGCAAATATGTCTGGGCGGCATTGTTGCAATGGGATAAATATTTGGTTACCAAATGAATGTAAATAATCGATCCGGTATTAACGCTAGGAAGGGTTGATTTTGCATACCGTTTTGAGAACGAAAAAAAGAAAAGATTCTTGTGAATTTAAACCTAGCCTGTAAGCTACAATTGCAGTTGATCCTCCTTGTCACGCCAACGGTTTAGATATTCTTCGTTAGATATTACGTAAATTACATCATGTTTTTGAGCGGGTCTTAATTTCGTTTTTCGAGTGTTTTAGTGTTCTTATCAGTATAAAGGAAACCCAACCTTTCGGGATACTTCCTCTCCTTCCTTTTTTTCATCAGCGGTGAGCATGAAGCACCCTCATTAAGCGCGCAATCGCTAATTGAGTTTGCTCTAAAATCTATTTTGCCTTGAGAGGCTCTTCGTGAAGGATATTTTTAAAATTCTTTCGATGGCTTTAAACAAGTTCTACACCTAATCTATGTGAAAAAAGAAACTATGAATTCGAATTGAATCCTTGTTCATCACTAAACTGTCGTTTGTAGCGAAGACGGAAATTAAGACCCACGACCTAAGAAACCATATTTTACTTATTTTTTGATGGCGATAAGAGAGGTACGGAAGCCGAGAGGGACAATCCAAAAATGTTTTGTAAATCCAAGAAAATATTCAGAATCGATATCTTTTAGACAAATCGCTTTTGAAAAGTTTGTCAAATGGACAAAACAAATTCAAATCCGTGACTTTCCACTCATTAACCGAGCTTTAAAACTCTAGACCTTGCAGACCTTTACTTCTTTAACCCTCTAAAAAGACTTACATTTCCGGTTCAAATTCCCCACCCCACCCATGTAAGGTTCAAATTTCCCATTCCCCAGGCATGGACGACAATAAAATACCCGTGAGTTGCCCGAGTTTTCTTTTTTCAAAGAAGAAAAATGAACTTGGGTAGGGCATTTGAACATAATTTTGGCCCCGTCGGTTGGTATTTGAAGAACTAATTTTCAAGAGTTCAATTTCCACGCATGAGATTTGTCTCAGTCCCTACTCTAGCCCACAGTAATTGAATTTCGCTTCTCAAAGACCCATCAACGACGTTTAGGCCCCATAAATGAGGCTTTATGTCTCGAGTACATCGTAAAAGGGATATGCACTCGCTCGACTGCATGGTATGTCCGAAACTATCCTCAGCAACTCCAGAAACTGCTCTTGACCAACATTAATCTAGAGCATTCTCTTCACGCAAAGAACTGAAAAATTAACTGAAGTAAAAAGCCAAACTTAATAAATCTTAGCGCTACCGTAAGAGAGGTTTTCCATGTTTCTGCATGTCCTGTGCGCGGCACGGCGCAGTGAAAAAAAAAATCCCTTCGATTAAACGAAAATTCAACGCTATCAATTGTGGTCTTGTTGATCATCTTCATTTGGCTTGATTTGTAGGTCTCACTTCCCAATGTGGCGTAGACATCCTTAACATTCATTTGAAAGAGGACCAACAACTCAAGGCTCGTCTCGAGGAATTGAAAACTGGTTCGGATGTTAATGGGAACTTTTTACAAAATCTACTAGTGCAGGCAATAATAGGGGAGCTACTTTCCGCCGTGGAGGAAGTTAAGAAGTTGAAAAGTCAAGTTGATGAAGAAAGGGCGAAGAATGCAAAACTGCTCAACGAGATGGAAAAACTGTCACAGATTTTTGAAGAGGAACAATACAAGTCCACGAAATTATCAGAAACGATATCCCTGCTGCAAGGCAATTGTAAGACAGTTGAACACCTCACCATTCGGAATCGTGAGCTAGAGATGGAGAGAGACCAAACTTTTTCTGAGCTACCTCAACTGAAGAGTTGGGATGAAGCGTTGAAGGCCTTCTACGAAATCGAGGAAAAAAGCAAACAACAGTACCAAGAGAGGTACGAATCGAACACCGCGGAAATAAGTGCGTTGAGAGAACGACTCATTCGAGTAGAGGAAGATTTAAGGTGTTTAAAGATGGGAAGAAAAAATTCCATGAACTCGTCCAATTTGGTGAGCTATTTCAATGTAATTTTTAATTCCTATTTGTGTTAGGATATGTCAGAGTTCTCTCTCACTTTAAGCATGACAGGTAAAAAAATTTTTAAAACCGTTAGGGCAATACTTTTATCTATTGCATTTTCACAAATTCCAAGAGATACTAGGCGGTAATAAGCAGTATAACAGGCAGTAAAATTTACCGGTTACCGCCTGAAAAGGAGAATACTGAATAGACGGCCAAGTCGTTAGTCTACCCGCGTGAACTTACAAACCATCCAGGGAAGAGTAGCAATATTCTTATTCTCTTCGCGCTATAGAGAGCGGCAAAAAAACTTTTGCCAGTAAAAAATGTTGCCAGAAAGGTCTTACGACTTAACCGTACACATTTTCTCCTTAATTTGTGGGTATTTGATCGAAGGCGTGAAGTTTTGGTCGTAAGAATCTTGGCCTGCTCTTGTTGTGTCCGAGATACTTCTGTTTCTTTTAAAAACTCTCACAGCCAGTGACCCCGGTTGAAAACATCAGCGAAGAGCATTTATTCATTTATCAGTTCATTTATGCTGAAAATGTTTTCTACCTTAATAATTTACGTAGCTTACCGGCACCGTTTAGACGACTATAAATATATGAGCGTAGATAGAGCTTTAATTTCTGTGGTTCTAATGACCATAAGCTTGAAAGATATCGAGATTCAGACGGTTTGAAAAGGCCATCAACGTGGCTCGACTTTTTGATACTTTCTTCTCAGGTAAACGAATCAGATGAACACGAATGGAAAGAATGGCTGTACCGCATACCTTATGAGGTCTTAGTTGCCATGGCATGTTGTCCCTCAGACCAAGGTTCAGTCGATGATCGTGTCTCATCTTCTAACATATCAAACTTTGGCATACCACCTTCGTCCCCAGCCGAATATGACCATCAGTGGAAACAATCACAGAAAGAAGTTATCTATGGTCTGTGGAAAAAAGAAAACGAAACCCCCGATGGATGTTACGTCATTGATGACAGCATTAAACCACAGCCTCGTCCTCGAGCGGATGCCCTTGATAGGTCCAGGACCTCTCGATACAAATTCCGGGCGTTACGTAGAATTCCTTAGATAGGAACAACCTGTAGAGAGAAACAAATGCTGACATATGTATTAAACCCTTCGTTAGACCTTCAAGATGAAAGTAGAAGACGTGGCGGCCTGATGTCGATGAACTAACATCTTATTCAGGGGGAATCTCCTGGTTGCGTCATGCTGTGAAAATGCAGTGATGGAAAACTTGTACATACTTCGCCCAGAACTAGTTGAAGACGGGAGCTCAAAGAGGCGGCTTCTTATGATTGAAAGAGCCCCTTTGGGCGATGATCGTTTTTGATCATACGGTTACGGAAGAAAGTTAGCTGTTCACTTTGTTCATCTATTCCTTTCAAAGCAAGCCTTTTCTCAAAGATTAGGATAAAAGTGCTGAATGTTATCTGTAATAAAAAGTTAGTTAACTTTCAGCGGAAACTTCTCCTGAAGTAGGTTTTTCTAACGATGTTGTTACTCCCTCTGAGTATCACTAGGTTTCTGGATACGAGTCACCTAATGAACCATTACGTTCGGCTGATTGGCTAGTATTCAATAGTTGTAACTGGCGCATCTCAAATATGGAGAAAATTATAGGCAAATATTCCAATTCGAGTGCTTCCTTGTTTACCATTGTAAATATGAAGCGGTACAGTAAATAACAGTAAGTTAACTCCAAGTATCTTTTCTTAATTAAGGAGGCTCCATAGGGTTTTTTGACCGCGCGAGATCTAGGTACGAACATAGAGCGAGCTTTAAAAGTGACGGCTCGATACGATCGCACGATTGTTTTCTGAAAAGGTATGTTAAAAAAAAGTTTAACTTAATACAGTTTTTATGTGATGGAATCTAGGGTTTCCAGCAACTGCATCCGTAACATTCATAGTCCTCCTACGCCTGAAAAAGAGGTCAACCGAAAGGAAAATATCGCGGGAAAGATTGCCAGAAGGCGACAGATTGGAAAGTGTATGCATGACAAAGAAAATAGGGATCTTTCGAGCAAGATTTATCGGGTTTCCTTCGATGGAATTTCCTATGATTTACTGTACTGTTAAAGATATTTTTAGCCTTCCTAGTGCCTGTTGATAAAAACTGAATTCATGAGACCAAATTTGAGACAGAGGAAGAAAACATAAAACTGCAAATAGTGAGGAAAATGCCTATGTAACCCCTATTTTTCTCGGCTTTTAAATGATCGGCATGACGAATTTCACAAATTGTGAAACTTTTGAGAGATTTCACCGGAGAAAATTGAAGAAAATGAAAGGCAAAGTCAAATTATCGCTGGCGAGCGCCCCTCTTCGTGGGGCCCTAGCTTAAGAACAAAAATCATTTTGTTAGTATTGACAACAGTAAACGATGGTCCGAGCCTTGCTCATCACCTTCTGAGGACTTGGTGACCAAGAAAAGAGCAAAAACCCTATGGAGCCTTCTTAAATGGAGTGACTGTTTAGAACTGAATTTCTTTGAAAACTGTAGAAAGCTTAGACCAAAGCCACATTACAGCTTAGAAATCTTTTAAATTATATGTTGTACACGATAACAATAAATTGTGTTGAACGCTTGTAACTGTTTCCTGGTCTAATCAACTCATAAAAGGCACCTTAAAACAGGAACAGAAAACTTTCTCTCTCTTGCTTCCTATGTCTGTAGCCGATGAAACCAATCCTTTTAAAAGCCGTGCACGTAATGTGCATTTGTTTGAGGGATTACTACATCAAAATTTAGATAGTGCCCTGCTGCTGCTGCTGTGCGTGAGATACATATATCTTATTGGACGTTTTAGTATGTAGTGTCGCGGAGTATTTTACGAGTTGTGCCATATTTCGACGAACCCACAGGACGAGTCCGCATACAAACAATAGAGGTTAACATCCAAGTTTAGTGTGTTAAACACACTAAAAGTCAAACCGTAGTTGAAAGTTTCAGGCAAGAAGTTTCGAGATTTTCAGCTTTTTAGATCGTCGACGGCTTTTACCTGAAATAATCATCGTGTTCGCCGCCATCTTGAATTAATAAATCAAACACTTAATAACTCATTAATAGACCCTTTACCTCTCGAACAAGAGTTGACGCTCCTACTAAACCAATAAGCGACTAAACAGAAGTCTTTTTCACCTTTATCTCAGTTTACCACCTAGCAATGCCATCTCTCCCCCCCAAAAAAAAACATCTTTACCATTCCTTTAACATCTTTACATAACCAGTAAGTGACGAATCAGGAGGTGTGAGAACGGCAGTAGCATCATCAAAAGAGCAACACGAGTAACAAAGTAACCATCGTGGTACTTTTATTTAGCGTCAGGCATTATTTTGGCAGCTACACGCCTAGTACTTGAGTTTGATAAATGTTCATCGTTCTTCTTTCTTTTCGTCCTTTCGTTTTCTTATAAAAAAAATCCTAGATGTATACAGGCAGGCTCTTCTTACATGTAAAAGCTTGCTTTAGTAATCACAATTACTGGTAGAGTAAAATACCTCACAACTTTGGATCATATAGTACAATCCCCATTATCCTAATCTTTACTTAAAACTGTCTTACTTCCGCAAACAATAGCCATCTTAACTAAAAGATACGCTTTTACGATCGAAAAAAAATTAATGATACCTACATTACTTTTACATTTACAAGCCACCAAGGATCGAGAACACGGCAGAGAGTTTACCGTTCAGTGATTTTTAATGTTACCTACTACCTAAAAAAAAATTAATCATATGGCAATAATATTTAATCGTACATCCTTAAAGAAAAAAATTATTTTAATAGTAGGAAAGGAATATAAGCACAACTAGCAACTACGCATGCAAGTGTGGGTTTTAAAGATAACTTTAAAATAGCTTTTTTGGGCCAGTTAAAGCTGCTTTACCATCATCCAGTAGAGCTTTCTCCTTCAATTAGAATATAGTAATGAGCGCAAAATTCTAGCTCAATGCAAACTTGATTGCAATTGTAATTCTGAAGTGATAGAATGAGGAAAGTACATCTGCATAAATGGAGTAACTCTCGCCTGTGGTTGATCTTCAAGTCAAGGACTACCGCAAACACTCTTATAAGTCCTTGGAGCATATCAATTTCCAGGGACCCTCTGACGGGAGGCTTATTGAAGAAGGTGAAGGGGGGGGTGGGGTAGGTGGGGTGGGTGGATTAACAAAACCTCATTGTGGGGCAAAATGCGAGTACATGTTTTTCTTACCAACTGAAAAACTTATTTCTCTGATTGAAAACCTACGATTTTCAAAACGAAAACCAATGCAAGCTTTCGAAAACGACTGAATGTTGCATAGCCTACCAAACTTACTAACACGCAACTAACGACAATACTGCCACTACTTAATACTTTTTCGGAGGGGAGTAGGGTAGGGTAGGAAGGGGGAGGGGAGTGGGGTAGGAAGGGGAGGGGCTTATCAGAACGTTTGCGGTATGTCACACAACTAAATCAGGCAGACTGTTTTGTGTTACAAGCTCGCAATTATTAAGAAAGCGCAGGCTAAATGATCATACCTTGCTTGTTCGGCTGATAATTTTTCCTTCATTACTCAACTGAGGAAATGGCAACATGCCACAACTAGAACTGAAGACTTAACCAACCACAGCACAGGAAAAGAAGTCGCCCTCACCCTCGCTCTGATTGGCTAAGGAACACTACAGGAGATTCACGGGGTTTATAAGAAAGTGTTACGTCAAAAACTAAATTACAGTCTTAAGTCAATGGTAAAGCTATCTTATAACACATGTATATTACAACACATGTAAGGCATCAGAAGATAATGAAGTAGATGGGCTGATCAAAATGATCTCCCCAATGGTTCACAAAAAGACTGGTTTACTCCAGATGCACTGCATTATGACAGATGCACCGTGCGAATCTCTCTACCTGGAAAACAGGTTTAAAACTGATCTACCAATAACTCTACTAGAGTTGTAGCCACATGTGGTCTTGAGCTTCTTATTGTCAGTCTAAACATCTGAAAAGGAAAGCAATCACTCTGTTAAAAGGTTAAATTTCCACATCGCAACTCTTGAAGATAATTTTCAGCCATGCTATAACCCCCTTAGCAGATAATTATACTTTTGACACTTTCAAACTTTTAAAAGAAAATTTCACAAGAGTTCTGCTTACTTGAGCTTGTCTATTAGGTTCTAGTCGAAGCAGTGTTCCTATTTGAACGGTTGTTCCTTTAATTATACCGGCACACACAAAGTTCTCCGGATTAGGGTCTACATTCTGAAGTAGGGAAACTCCAAAGCCAACGAGCTGAAAGACACCAGACAAAAAGTTATCACAGAAAGAAAATACTGATATAGGAATTACATGATGATGCTGACAGAAATTGTGTAAGCAACGAAACTCGTTTTGAAGGTGTTGTCTGATCGTCCGGGTGAGGCTAATCCTGAAAAGCACTGTTGTAAGTGGTAGTAACTGTAGTTTAAGCAACCTGAATGAAATTCCCTTCAGCAGGCTCCAACCGATCAGAGTATAGAATATATCTGTTTAAACCTTTAAATTAAGGTAAAGTCTGGACTCGAGCCCATTGGTCCACCCGGCCGGACCTTATCCCAGTTTCCGAGGGGCATGAAGAAACTAGGAGTATTGCTACCCCCCCCCCTTTAAAGGGATACTAATCCATCCCAAGGTTACCCCCGTTGCGTTCTTGCTTTCGCTCTACTTTCATTAAATGCAAGTTTGAATGTTCCTTCTCCATCATTCTACTTGTCTCCTGTCTCCACTAGTTATATATTGTGGCCTGTTTTCCTGTCGCCCTGTTTACTGTCACTCAAATTCACACAGGATTCCTTTTTCATACAATTTGCAGATGCTCAGTGATGCTAGTGTTTGCCCCAGTGGGTCGTTTAAGTTTTGCAACAGCTTCAAGGGAACTACGCTGACTGAGGGTGGCATACTGATTACTAACCTTTGTCTTAATTGTCTCTGTATCAATTGGAAACTTAGCCTTAAAAATCTGCTGGCACTCTTGATCCGGGCTGAAACATGAAATGACGAATAAGAACTTAAACTAGGTCAGAAAACAATACTACAGGAATAACTGGAGCAGGACCTGTGAATCTCACTAACACATGAGGCCATTTTACATGCAATTAAGCCGGAAAAAGTAAGGCTTCCACGGGACTCGAGCCTGTGCCTTGTAGATACCGGCCAAGAATCAGTTATTCAGATGCTTCTTCGTAGATCATTCAGTAGAAGCGCTGACCCTGTACTTAGAAGGCATGTGATCTACCTGTAAAGAACATCACTCCGCTTTCAAATGAAGCACTCTAAGACAGTGGGGTACCACCATTAAGGGGATTTTTCCACTCGAGAGCCAAAAACGTTTGGGGAACTTTTTAGGGAAACTTCCTCCAGTCCTGGGGGTGTCCGCTGAAAGGAGCTCCCGCTGAGTTAATGTATCGTTTAACTCTAATGAAAGACAACTGCTACGTTAAGACTTTCCATTCCTCCCATTTTTTTGTTTTCATTCCTAATTCAAGCGAAGATCCATAACTACAACAAATCTACTTACTTTCCCAATTGTTTCCATCTGGAAAAGAAGTCTTGCGAGTTCATATCTGTCGGCGCGAAGAATTTGGAAGGAAACAGTGGGACTGGAAGGACAATTCTTTGGCTCGTGCCGTTCACACTAAAAAGAGAAAGGCAAAAAGGAAATTGTTTATTCCAAAAATAGTACGAAAAGTATTTGTACGTTTTCCTATTAGTTAAGTGGGGCTCTCCAATGTATTTCGGCTGACAAATAGACTTCATCCATAAATGGTTGGCCTCATTGCTTATCTGGCCTCGACAGTATGTGTGGAAACTATAGAATTTTCGCCCAAAACAAGGCCAAAAGGGCTGATTAGCATGCACAGAAAAGAATAGTAATCATACCCTTCATTAAGAAAGGGGTACAAAATACGGCAGAAAAAAAAAAACCGAAAAGATCAGTGAAATACATGACCTGTAATCTGTGTTGTTAATTCCCAGTCTCAACCTTCCTATTTTGCCTTTGACCCATTCTTATCTCTTAGGCGTTTGTCATTTGAGCCATTTTCAATAAAGAGCCGGAACCCATCCGGGATTGCACTTTTTACCACAAGTGGCTGTAATGGCGCAATCTGATTGGCCAATTTGCCGTTGTCACTAAGAGTACCGACAACACTGTTCACGTCAACGTGTCACGCAATGGTCACGCACTAAAAAGAATCGTTTTATTTGACGTTGATACTGTGACAAAAGCCTCAATACTGCGCCTCGTGAGTACATAACATTTTAACCATTGTGATGGCGAATATAGTTGTCGATAACGACACAGACCGCGCTAAACCACTGTCATGTTACAGTTTTCTTTTACTTCGCTTAGTGATTGCTCTTGGAAACATTTGCCAATGTCGACCAATCAGATTCAAAACTGTCTTGCGCGATACTTAAATTGAGTAGTGTAAATCAATAGGTTAACCTAGAAACCTTTACAAGTAAACGTAGTAAAGAAACATACCCGAATTGAATATCTATGAGTGGATGGTCTTTGAATTCTGAGATACATTCTACATTTATCATCTGTTTGACTTGTGCTCCGCCCTCCACAATGTTTGGAGGAGAATTGGTGTCAACTTTGATGTGTGAACAAAGTCAAGGATGCAAACTAAACGTATGAAAGGTCCCTGTGCGTCTGATAATTCTTCAGAAATAAACTGAGTCATTGAAATGTTAAGTGGAATGGGGAAAGAAGATTTTAACTCAAGTTTCGCTCTAGAAATGGATTCTCAAGATTTGTAGACAAATCTTAACCACAGGACACCCAGCCAGCATAAAGTATACAAGTCTACCAAGTCTGCCGGAGTTTCGCGTGGTATCATTATCACAACGTTAGAAAAAGTACCACATCTCCTGCCAGACACAGAGCTAATGCTTTGCAATCCACCACAATAAATGTTTATGGGCAAATGACACACGGGGAGAAAAGAAACTTTTCCCTCTCGTCTTTCAGCCGTTTGTAGACTTAACCCAAAACATTTTCTTTAAATTTGGACAAATAAGTAGTTTCTAATTTTCTACAGACTTGATCTAAGGATTATTGGCAAGATGAGAAAAATCAGCTCATTTTTTGCCGTTTCCTGTTACCGTTGCTGTGAATGTTTTGCTTAAACTCAACAACAACATGAGCGCCTTTGACTGAAAGGATATGAGTATTAAGATCTCCCGGCAAGTGGACCATGGAAGAAAACGAAACAAACTGGGATGAGGTCTTGTTACCATAGAACACACCAAGAGCCCCTGAAAAAAAACAACAACAACACGTTAGCATTAAGAAAAAAAAGACAGGAGAAAAACATAGAATAGACAAATAACGACGCATATGAAAATCAAAATTGGTACTAATAACATTGACCTGTGGTTCTGTGACCGATTTTGGACCGATGGAAAACCAAGCATTTGAACACCAGAGGTTTTCTATATTGAGATAAAAACTACTTACCTTTCTCGTCTTTGAATTCCGATTTGATACCAACTTGTAGGATGTCAGTTTCAAAAAGAACCCCAGTGTTTTTACACACAAATCTGTTCAAAAAAATGTGGGAAATCTTAGTAAGTCTTGTTTAATCATCTTCAGAGGACTGCAACAAGTCATTAGTGTTTTTTACACACATCTCATAGACTCTTGGACTACCAAGATCACCTCTTCACTGTCTACAACATGCTTCTGATAACGTTACATAATTCATCCCAAAAGTTGTTTGATAATGCAAAGAGCACATATCAAAAAATTAAATATGTGAAGTACAACTTCAAATAACGGCCACCTCCCTTGTACGACCTGTTAACGAATGGTTGATCAAAGATCTAAACAGTATCACATTTGTTATTGCTGAAGTTCAGCAATAAAATTTTCATTTCAGAGCTATTTTTCATTTCCTGCTTTACTGACATATCTTCATTGGACTGCACATTTATGAGCTACAATAAACATTTTATAGCAAAAGGAAATATAGCCTTGAATACCGGGTCTCTTGTTACACCGATACCTTTCCATAACAGTCACCCTCTACAATAGCTATTTTTCGCTCTCCCCAACGTGGCCGTTGTTGAGAGGATTTAAGATTATACAAAAACTAACTTCTTGAGGTTTTCCTCTGCCCCTGGGGTTATGGATGGAGCACTCCCTGCCATGGGGGCTGGAGGCATCTCAAACACGTCTACAAGAAGGCTACCTCCTCCTGTCTCGGGAGGTCCAAAGTTATTTGTCAAAGGCTTTGAAACTATTGTCTCTGTACCCAGGAGGTCTGAAACAAAATACTTTGGTAAGTGCCAAAACTTAACTCTAAAAAAATGTTTCAGCAGTGGAATGACAGGTTACTGGTAATAAGAAGCGAGTTACAACGTTAAAGAAGGTTAGCGGAGTGCTTGAGCACGAGTGTTTTGACAGCAGTGAAAGGCATAGAAATTTAATAAAACTTAATAAAATGTTACCTGGTTGTAGGGCTGGATTGGGGGCAGGAGCCTGCAATAAAAAAATCTTCCTATTATTCCTTGCTATTAATTTAACCCTTTAACCCCTAAGAGTGTCTAATATCTAATTTCTCCTTACAATATCAGCCTTGAATCAACCATTTAGGTCATGAGAATAAAGGAAATGATCATCAACTACAGCAGCTCTTGATTATTAAACAAATTCTCTTTACCAGCACCTTGGTAAATGTATAGTTAACAGTATGGAGCATATAGATATTGATGCTAGGGGTAAAGGGTTGAGACAAGAAAGGTCAGGCAGTTTTTATAAATCAAAGTGATAATAAATTATAACACAGTGTCTTTCTAAACAAAATTTGTATACACAAAAAGCGTACAACAACTCAGAAGGCAACTACAATTGTAGTCTGTCTCTTGGCATCTACTTCATGGGATGATATCTCAGTATACCTAAAATTCATACCTGTCAACAGCTTGCCCAATCAAATAAAGCATGATTTACTGTCTGAACAGCACGCTAACCATGATGAAATATCAACTTAAATTTTCTTATGGAATGTAAATTGCTCTTATCTTCTATTTAAATTATATTGTGTCAAATCTCCTTTTTTTTCTTTTTTTTCAGAATTACTTTCTGCAATAATCATGGACTTGTACAATATTCAAACAGCACGTGTACCTCGTTAATAGTAACAGGAACCTGGCCGTTAGCAGTTGGTTTTTCCACTGGTTCAGTCTTCTCTTCTTTCTCAATGATTCCTGTTTTCTCCTGCTTCTTTTTCTTCAGTTTTGCTAAGATGGAAGACTCACGTTCTGGGAATGGTGGCATCTCTTCAAGAACGGTAGCCTATGAGGAGAAAATGAAGGGACAATTCTGTGACAAAGTGAGAAGAGTTTTCCAGATTTAAGGCTGAAATGGGATGGGTAACATTTAACTATATATATATATGATCTTGGAGCGGCATCTCGTGAAATTTCGTGTTTATTCTATAATCATACTCTTTATAGCTTTTACCATACATTTTTTCAACCAACAGTAACCAAGGGAACTCAAACAAACTAGTTTCACTGTATTCACACTGATGTGTTCTTAATGATAAATCATCTCTTTAATTCACAACTTTTAACTTAGCCAATACAGGACCAGCAGAAAAAGTCCTATTACCACCAACATTTTCAATGAAAATGTAACAAATAAGGTAGAAACACTCCTCTATGATCTTTACAAAAGCTCAAAATGTTAACCTTACCAAAACATCTGGAGATGCAACAGTACTAAGCTTTAAGTACTCCAAAGCTCTCTGCTGGATCTCAGCATCAGAATTTTTGAGGTTATTATCACTACGCAAAATCTGGGGGAATAAAATTTAACACATTACCAAGGGTTATTCTGACCAAAATTTTTTCCAATAAAATAACAAATTCTGTAAAATAGCTGGAAGTAATAATACCTAAAATAAATGAGAAATATGAAGTGGTTAGACAAATTATTTTTTAATTTCAGCAATTTTCGAGGAATTTCTAAAAGTAATTTCATAGAGTCAAAATAGAATGGTGTGTTGCAACAGGAGCTTTATTTCACACAAAATAAGTTAAGAACTCTCTTTGTACCTCTTGGATGTATCCCTTGATCTCAGGGAAGAGGTTAATAAACTTGACGTATGTTGACATCAGCAGGCCTCTTGTGGAGGATGCACAAAGTGGAAACTTACTGTGCAGCAGCTGGAATTGAACCATGGGACTAAAAGAAAGACAATAAAAAGCAAGTGACACTAAAGAGGGCAGCAGCTAGGTGGTGATCATAATATAATGGGCAAAATTTTGATTAAAGCTAACTTTATGTGTTCCATGAACACTTCAATTTGAGGGAAGGGCTGGCAAACTCCAAAAACAAAAAATTATGACAAGTGATAAGAATTTGAAAATATAAAAAGTCATGAAGAAAAATGGCAAATTAATATAAAATTGGAATGGTATTTGTTATTTGCATTGTTAATAAATGATGATTACATCAAACGCATTTAATTTAAAAATTAGTGTTTAAGACTGGAAATAATTGAGTATCATAGCCATTTCCATTGCCACCAAGCAGCCTGGAAAGCGAAAGATAGACAATCAGCTTCAGCTCTGTAACAGCTGAAAATCATACCTTGACCTTGGGTCTCCTGCAATAAGATTTCCAAACTCTCCAAGAATGTAGCCACCAACTTTGACCATGTTCTCATGGCATGATGGAGACTGCAGTGCTTCAAACACTGTCTTTGCAGCATAGCCCTGGATGTCATCTCGATTTATCACTATTTGGATCACACGAAACCAAACCTACAAGAAATGTTGTTAAATTATAGATTAAAGAACGACTTGCTTTCTGTTCAATTTGTTTCCAATCTAAACAAAGCACTGCTTGTTGTTGAAGCACTGTAGAGCACTCAGAAGTTCTAACTACTGACATAATGATAAAACTACCCATACAAATCAATCTAAAGTTGAATGTGTTCACCTCTCAGAAACAGGGAATCTCTCAAAAAACTTCTTATACCAGCTACCCATGTTAGTGGACAATAAAGACACTTATCCATACCTCTTCACTGACGTAATCCCCAGCAATTCTTATAAGTGTAAGAATAGTGTCCATGTACCAGGAATAATCTGTTGCAAACTTCTCTGCAAGTATTGCCACTTTCAACACCTTGCAAAAGAAAAACAAAATTAGAACCTCTTTTTAATCAGGCCTTGGAAAAACCTCTCGTGCTTTGAGATCCTAAAAAAAATAATTTGGTGAAATTCTAAGACAGAAATGAGATGATCTCACATCACAAACTTTTGACCCACCTATTACTTGAATGAAGAAAGAAATCTTCATTCTGAAGAGAAATGCAGCAGAGACTAAAAGCTTTCCATATAGAGTATGTATACAGTACCTTCCTTTAAAATATGTTGCTAAATTAAGTTATTTTACAGTATGTTTAATACATTTTTTTTACCATTTCCTCTTTGATGGAGTAATCAGCAGTTTCCAGGTAAGTTAACATTTCAGAAACAATCTCTTCAGCATTGTTTTTGTCACACATGGCATAGAGGAGGTCAACAGCTCTTTGACGTACACTGACATCTCGTTCAGTCTAGAGTAAACAAAAATACACTTTGTTATACACATCGACAATAAGTCAGGGCTCTCAACCTTGCAATGATCTTAAATCTGTAAAAGATCTAAAATCTGTCTTCCTCACCTTCAGTGCTCCAACAACAGTCTCCTGATGTTTCCTAACTGCATCAACTGAAAACTCAGAATTTGACATCAAGCACAATCCTTCCAAAGCAAGATACCTATAAAATGAATTTCAAAGAACAATGATAAAAAGAAAAGAAAACAAGAATGTCCACTGGATTAAATGTCTTGCTAATTTTTACATGTTTTGACCAGTAAGAGTATTTAGTGTAATACTACTCTTCAAAAAGATTTTTAGTGACCAGATTGTGATACAAAGGAAGCAGCACAGTGTCATTCTTTTATATTCAAAATTGAGCCATAAGCATTTGGAACAGCTGGGGCATTTTTCTGAACAGACAATGAAATGTGCCAGTTGCTGGTTTATTTTAACAACCCTGAGGTACTGAGGTGATGGGTGGTAACCACAAGTCCAATAACAAAAACATGCACAAATCCATTCATTCTTTACTTGATATATGTCACTGAGTACACTGGAATCCCCCAAAATAAAAATAATATTTCACAATTCAAATAACATATAAATATCATTAAAATCAAAATTGGCAAGAGTTTGTTGTTTTGGATCTTGAGCCACTCTATAATAGCAAAGGCATTCAGAAATGCCATCCATATATAATTGTTACATGAAATACATGGCTAAGTTTATTGGAATCTAAAGCAATGAAGAATAATTTGTCACTGTCCATAAGCAAAATAACTTTTGGGTCCAAATTGGAAAGGGCTGTTTAGGGCTTCAAGCAACTTCCTGATGCCTACTATGCATGGGGTGCCCATCTATAATCCCATCTATGATATAATCTGATTTGGTATTTTATGATGTTTGATGGCCCATACATGCATGTTCTCACAAAAAGAACCAAACTCATCATACCTCAAGTTGGTCTCCTTGTGTGTCAAAAATTGACCCAGTTGGTTACAGCCTCTTATCAACAAGCTTTGCTCACTATAAACACAACAAAACAATATGAAACTTAGTCACTTTGCTGAAAATCAGAGAGTGCTCTCAGCTAGAAAACAAGTTTTGGCAACACCATTGATTCAACACTCCTAACCTTGGGTTTTCCAGCTTGACAATTCATTCATGCCCCAAAATAAAACTAATTTCTGTGGCATTAAGGTGTTTGGGGTAATGTTGTCTACTGAGTGGCTCAAGTGAAGGGCCCACTTAAATACATCCTTTAACCTACTCAACTGAAAACTTAAATAACTAAGGGAATGGCAACATCAGAGTTCAACTCAAAAGTTGGTATTGCTCTCCATGCAAGAAAGGAACTTTGCTGGTTACCTGTCCATGTGTATAATCAAATTGATTGCTTCAAAGAGGACAGCATTCCTTGCATTTGAATGCTGAACTTTCTTTGATTTGGGTGGTTCCTGAAAGAGAGTGAGGGAGAGAAAAAAAACATTGAGCTCAAACCCTGGACCTAAAGCTACATTCAGCATTAAAATTAGTTGACACATTGTGTTTGAAGAGTCCTCTTTATGTGTAGAATAACACTCCTGTTTCTACCACACTCAAAATAATCAACAAGATCCCCCTTCCCCATTCAATTCCCCATCTTTTTTTTTTAGGGGGGGGGGAAAGAAAGGGGGCACTGGGTTAATTTAAAGAAGGCAAAAGAGATAAAATTTAAGTAATAAGGGTTTGAAAAGATCATGTCAACAATTTGTCGCCGAGATGCAAGATATTTTTTCACCTCATTTCCTTTTTCAATCTTTTGTTCTTGATTTAATGAATAGAATAGATTACTGAAGAAATGTTCAATTTTGGCAGTTCCTTCGGTTTAATAGTTACTAGATAGCAAATGAATATATATATATCAATTAATATACTGTAATTAAAATTCCATAATTGACATTGCTTGAATTTTATATATTAACACAGAAATTTTGTAAATAAGTCTTATGTCCTTTTTAATAAAAAGTGAAACAGTTTGCAGGTTTTCACTTGACTGACTGAGAGGACTGGTAACAATTACTTTCGAAATCAACATGGCGTCTTTAGTGTTGGGTCATCATGTTCATATGTTTGCAGTGGATGATGTACTATCAAAACTAGAAGGTTTTTCGTTTAGCAAAGGAAAAGTAATAGAAATAATCATTTGAATAGAGAGTTCTTTACATTTTCATAGAGAGAAAGATTTGTTCCTTTCTTCAAGTAAGAATAGTGATCATGTTCACAAGCATTTCGATCTAGTTGAAGTTATTACATAAATGTCTACGTTCTCACCATTGGATCTTATTGAAAGTGAAATGTGAAGGCGAAATGTCTTATCAGTATCAATTAGTATACCTTTTATATTGATGTTTCTCACTTATAATTATTGTGTGAAATGACCACTAAGAATTGTGCGAACAGTCCAAAACTTGTGCTAAAAGACTTGTGCGAAAAGTCTTTTGTGCGAAATGTCCTGTATTCTAAAAACCATACCTGAGCCTTGTTGAGAATGGTTTCCAAACACTCATTTAGTCTCCCAAAGACAGCTGGGTCATCTAACAAGAACAAACAGGAAATGGGTAAAAAACACAAATTCAGTTAGGAGGCAGTCCTTCACAAACAAAATCAAAATGAAAAATTGCTGACTTCACCTAAACAAGAATGGAATTTTTCTCGAACAATCTATTTCCCAGTTTTCCTGTACATCTATTTTGAGCAGGGGAACACTCAGTAATTCTAAGCAAAAGGTTTCTATACCATCTTAGATTTTAAAAGTAGGGTGAAGGTTGTGAAGAGAACCCCCCCCCCCCAACAATCTTCCACTCTAACCCCTCATCACTTCATCAAATATGGCAGCTTGGTGAATGATTGCAAGCCAGAAATGCTGACCTATGTTCCAATTAAAACACCTACGGTACAGGCTAATTTTCCTCCATCAAGTTTAACTTCTAAGTTTCAGCTTGCAACAAATTCAGTAGTATGCTATCAGTATCATGTATCTTAATATGTAGCACATTGCCACCAGCAGTATATTTTGGCAACAAATCTGAACTAATTGGATCACAAAGAATAAGATAAACTGATCACCTGGAGGAGGGTACATCTGGAGAAGTTTAATAAGCTTGACGCAAAGCCATGGAGCAGGAACAAAGTAGTAGGTGTAGTCTTGAAGGTCCGTGTAAGATGATGTTACAATCTATTGAAAAGGAAATCAATGTTTATTATGTCAGGGCATTAAACAGTCCAAAAGGTCAGATGGTCATTGTGCAGAATTATGGAATGCAAGAACTCTACAGCTGTATGAACAACCAGAAGGTATAGCATGCTGTAAAACTCTTACCCTACTAAGTCTTGAGACTGCCAGTTGAACACAACCCTTGTACTCATCAGCAAAATAATGGACAAATCCATGGATAAGGCTGGCTGCTGAGGTTACCACACCCTAGTGGGTAAACAATCACATTAATGCCAGTCCAAATGGCAACTTTCAGACATTTCAAAACAAAAAAAGCTTTTCTCTAAAAACAGAGCATAAAACTGCTCACATAGAGGTCTCAGTAGTCCAAGCAGAAATGTACAGGAGAAAATGACCAGCAAAAAACAATCACCATAAGCAAATTTCTTCTAGCTCCTAAGATCAAGAATCAAAATCCAATCCTCCTAAATGATGATTACATTTTCCTAGATGAATTATTCTTAGAAATCTGGTGTTTCAACTGGACAAAATTCCCTCAGAGATATTTTGTTATCTCTCATTGCTTGTTTGCTCGTAAATGTACAGTGCACTTATTGTACTGAAAATAACAGTACATAATAGTACTTTTAAAAGACTGTAATTACTGGTAAGTGGGTTTAAGTTCACTTTGAATCAGACCATCACTTACTAACTGAACTGATATAAAACCCTCACATTCTCATGAGAATGTAAATCATACACATTTAGCCAGTGAATATTGAACAAAGTCTGAACATAAAAAGCAGCTATCTCAATGGGGAAGCAATTTTGTCTCCTGGGGCAAACACACTCTTTATTCCTTTAACTTTCAGAAGTGATTAACATGTAACTTCTCTCTAAAATATCCATATATTATCCAGCAAACAGGTAATGAGTATAATCAAACTTATCGAGTAGAAGTTGTTATCTTGATCTAACACCACATTCTTATAATTAATTTACAAGGAAATATTTAGTAGCTAAAGGGGAGAATTAACAATCAGATCTTACGAGTGAAAGGATTAAGTCATTTTCTCTAGAAAGCAAGAAAATGGATTTCTTCAATTTTAAAGGCTAAACAACCATTCACTCACCAGATGCTTATCATTTAACAGTTGAACTATTCTTGATGTCCACTCTCCAGGAGGCAAGATATCTGTTTTAAGCCTGAAGAGTTTCAGAACACAGAGTGCAGAGCACTGCTTCACACTGTCATTAGTGTCGGGGGAGACTAATAACTTGGGGACTTCTTTCCCGACTGCCTCTACCATCTCCTCATTGCCAATGTTTGCAATGCATTGTAGAGCAAGACAGACATTGATGGGATTGCGACTGGACAAGTCATTCTTGATGCTTTGGATAATCAGCTTGATGAGTTCACTGTTTGCACTCACAAGGACTGAGATAAAAAGGTACCCCTGAATATAAAAGAAAAAATACACGAGTATTAAGCAATACTATTCAAATTTCAATCATTCAGGAAACAGGTTGAAGGAGACAGAAAATCTAGCCCATAGTAGTTACAGTTAGACTTGTATTAGCCAGTACATTATTTAGCAGTAATATCAAACCTCTAATAAATGGTTATTTGTCAAAGAGCCCAGTTTCTCCCTTTATTACACCCATTTTGAAATCACTGGTGGTCCTTGTAATCTGATTATCTCTAATTGGTGTGATTTATTCATGAATCGCACCAATTTTTGCTTTAAATCGCATCTTTTTCCCAGGCAATGAGGAGGCTACACTAAAAATGAAACGACCGATCAGATTTCAAGGCTTGTTTAAAGTAACTGATCAAATTGCAGAAAAATGAAAGACAGAGTATCATGTGGCAAATTTTGTTTCCAAAACTCTTACTTCCCCCAAAAAAAAAAAAAAATGGATGAATTTAATTTCAGTCCTGCTCAGTACTGCATCAATAAAATGTTTGAAATGACCAAGTCCTGTATTTGGGTGATTTCAAAATGGATGTAATAAAGTGGTAATTGAACCCCGTGTCGTGTAATTTTGGTCTGAAATCATACTTGTGATTTCAAATTGAACTCACGCTGCACGCTCATTCGATTTGGAAATCATGCGTATGATTTCAGCCCAAATTGCACTCCCCTCAATTAGTTCAATTACCATTATTAATCATAGTAATTTTGACCTCTACTTAGCAGTTACAGCCATCTTTATAAAGTTTCAACTGCTCTTCTCTCAATCATCTTGACCTGTATTTAACAGTACCTTAACCTTTGAAACCCTGAAAGTGACCAACATCTAATTTCTCCGTACAGATATATGGTTGAATCTTTCATTAAGATCATGAGAATAAAGAGAATAATCACTATCCAAAGAAGCATTGATTGTTATACAAATTCTCCATGTCAGTACTCAAGGAAATGTATAGAGAAGAGAATGGAGAACATGGATACTGATGTTAGGGTGTAAAGAGTTAAAATAAAACCACTAAAACAAAATTATGAATAATTCCATGGAATTTGCATTGGGAAGTAACCCCCTATTAAGCTGTCACTCAGCTATTCCTCATGGGTGATAAATTTTAATGTAACTGCTTTTATTGCTTATTACAGCTATTCCATTAGCTTGTCATAGTGAAAAGAAGATAATCAGATTACATGTGGGCACAATTTAATACAATGGATACAAATTTCTCTTGAATGCTTTTTTAAGGGACAAAGTATCTGATCAAATATTTAAATTTGTCTGATAACAATGTCAAAATTTGTGAATTGTTTTAAATGAGAACAGGTGTGTAGGGCAGATGCCAGTTGGCTTCGTCAACTGCAAAACATTGCACAGTTCTAACCACAACACCATACCTAAAAATTTGAAAGGTTCAGTGATTAATTTAATCAAAATACATTTAATACCATAGTCACTTCATATTGTGAAAAATATTGAAATAGACTTCTCTATAATTTTTTCTTGTTTAACAAGGGTGTTTGAGACTGAGTATACTTTACATTATATGTTTTTATGATGTCAAATCCATATCTAACTTTAAAATAATCAACACCAAAAAGTTAAAAAAAAAGAGCAAGTTAAATTTTCTTCAGTACCTCAGTGTTTTCCTTCCTTTACTAAATTGTGTGAAAGCTCACCAAATGCCATGGCAGTCAACTCTGGGCACAACCTTTCATCTCCAAGGATCAACAAAATTTATGATTTTGTGACAGAAGCTTACTTGATTTTTATGATTAGGTTGCATGTGGGCATTGAGCATAGATAATGTTTAATTTTGCCTTTTAGCTTGGGATGCAACCAATCAATACAACAATTTTATTTCTGTATCAAAGGTACAATTGACATCTCTGAAGTCATAGTGGCAAAATTTCCTTGCTTAATTTAAATACCGCTTTCTGAATACTAGCAACACTACCTTTACTCTGGGATGACAAAAATCAAACTGAAAAGAATTTAATAAGTTTCTCTCAAGATTAGCATTTTGAGTAGTCACATTTGAGGAAATGTTTGTCAAGATGACACAAAAACAGTTTGTCATCCTGCTGCAAATGGCTCCTAGTGCTTAAAGCTATGACTTTTTCATTGTTATTTTTTAAAAGCACCTTAAATTGCAACACTTTAAGATACACAAAATCTAGAGAATTCAAACTACCCTAGCCTTACTTGGGAGATTTAAAGCAGAATGAGAAATCTTTGGAGGAAATCCATTACGGCAACACACGACATGGAAGACTAATACCCTGTTTGGAAAATTCCAGGCTATTGCTCTTAAGTTACAAGTTGGGTGATGTTGAAACTCTTCTGAACTCTTGACTTGCAATAAAAGTATTAAAAAATATTGACACTCCCTAACAATAAATGAAAGATCTACTTGAAAGGCACAAAAAGTTATTTTCTAGGGCCAGTTGCATTTCATTTACAAAGAAAGTGCAAGAGCATGGAACATGTAAATACATGTACCTTTAAAAACTCGTGAACACGGTATAATCAAAATTATATCTTATAATTAAGGTATCTATAAATTCAACTTTAACAAAAATACACAGAAAATAACCCTGTGATAAGATTATCTGCGGGAACAAAATTTGAGTGGTGTTAAAATTTAAGTATCTACGGGAAACCGTTAAAAATGCATGAAATAGGTGAATCGAAGGTAAAATTAGCTTTGTCGCTGTTGATTGATTTTTCACCTCAACCGTCGAGCAGACGCTTTAAATACCGGCAGTACCTGACCAAATATAAAAAGTTTCGATGTACTTTTTGTTCTTGAAAATGGGAACTTTCGGTTGTTCATCAATATTAAAAGATCGCGGTTTGATTAACCCATAGTAGAATCAAAATTTGGTGTTTAATCTAGCGAAAATATCCTCCCTGAGTGCTTTCACAGTTTGAAATCCGCGTTAAATGTTTAAGTTGGTCTGGTATGGCAGCTTCAAAAAGCAAACATTTTTAACTCATGTAAATCAAAATAATTAAGGGGCGCTTCCATATAGCTTGGGAATACTTACGATTTGTTTTTCCGTATACTTGTTAGACGATAGCAGATTCACGGCTTCCATGTGACCAAAATCGATATCGTGGCCAAGAAGAAATATAAACAGAAGCTTACAAACGTACTTCTTCTTTTGGTAACCATCTAACTGCTTATCGCCTGAGAAAAACAAAAAAAAGTATGAAATGGAAACCGAACACGTTCCATCTTCCGATGAGATTAGCTCATAACGAAAACTTACCAAGTTCGATTTGAACGTACGGTTTCGTAAATACGCAAACTTACCTTTGAATTTATTTCTAATATTTGCAAGCTCCTTGTTTATCCGCTTCATCTCAGCTTCTTTAGATTTACCTGAAACAATAAGGGATGTTTGAATCCCGCGTGTGACAGAATGCCGCGATGAAGCGAAACGCTGAGAACGATCACATAGTTGATTTCAACCGATCAAGACACACGTGTCAAACGCGACACAGACTAAAAAAATGAAAACACCTTCGAGAAACTTAGAAAGATGAAAATTTTTACTGTCACTTACAGTTCCTAATGTCAGAAATGAAAACGGCTAAGCCCCTCATTCCCTCTCCTTTTACCGCGGGCATCTTGGTTGAGTAGTATAGTGTTCCACAATATCAGTCTTCAAATCTGACACAGCCCACTTCACAAGCACCTAGGCTCAGGTCCGATGCAAGTGGAATATTCACTTGATGACTGACCAGAACTGTGTAATCCGACTTCTACCGTTTTAGGGTTGCAGGAAACTAGCTACCGGTGCCAATCGCGACGCGATGGTGGATATTCGGTCCTCTCGGGCTAAATTGGAGACGGAAGATGGCAGCCGCCATCAAGCATCCTTCAAAGCGAGGCCAGGAGCATGGCGCCCCCGCACCCCTAAGACTACTGTCAGCAGAACATTCACCGGCGTCAAAATTGTAAAATACGTCGTGTAAGAAACATAAAACTTATCAGCGTTGCACGATGGGCAGCAAATAACAATCATGTCACATAAACTGCGACTCACAACTTTTTTTATCCTAGAAAAATGAGCGAATGTGGGCGAACTAAAAAACGATTTTTCCGAAGTTCCGGAGGCAGCCTCTAGTGGAAAAAGTAATTGAAACTTCTGCCGAGTAAGTATGGCCCAGACGTTCAGCAGGCCATGCGTAACGTTCTATTAACCGCTATACGCTCATCATTCACTGAAACACTTGCATGAGTGATGCATAATAATAAGAATATATTTACACTCATTATACTATTTTTGTTTTTCTTTCTCAAAGACAAATAGGAGTCGAGGCCGGGTTTTCGACACCTCTCCCCATTGAGAACATTTTCGATTTCGAGCTTTGCTATTTGAATGTTACAAAGCTAAGGGGCAAGCCTGTTTGTCTGACAAATAGTAACTGATACTTCAAAGAGCAGTATGCTGAAATTTTTGGTTAAAATTTCGATTCACTTGAGTACACAGCAACTTATTATCTAAACGGTTTGTGCGCACCTCCCCAGGAGTGGAAGGTGAAAGTTCTAAATTCAAGATCTTCACGTTTCAGGCTTCACTTGGAAATGTCTCGAACCACAGTTTTATTCCAAATCTGAAGAGCCTTCTTCTGCGCTGGAGTATGTAATAAAAAGAGACTGGCTGTGCTCTAAGAGCGCGGAAGAGTGGCTATGTGACAACAGAGGGCGTGGTCACATTTACTTAATTGACCATGACGTGTTGGTTCAGACCATGAGTCTACTGGTTGACTTTAGTGAGAATATATTGAACATTTGGGTGTTCAAGTCTCCGCTTTCCGACTGGCAGCGTACTCAGCTATTTTTGAATCACCAGTTTGTCGTGATTAAAACAAAGAACTGGTGGTGGTCCATTGAGAAGAACTCGGAAGTAATTCTCATTCAGAGAAGCAAACACTTGAAGGGATATGGTGGAGTCCTCGACTACGCAAACAACAACAAGAGGAAAACTCCATTACTTCGAGTCAGCTCCGATGTCGGACAGAAAACCATGAAGGATCTTATAGAGTTTCTTCATGAAGAAGACGAACTAAACAAGACGTACTTTTGGAACGTAAATAATTGCAAACATTTTGCAAAGAAAATTTATGATGAATTCGCGAAAAGGACGTTGCATGATACAACGCTTGGATGTGACCTTCGTGGAAACAAGAAAACCATGTCCGAGTGTGTGTGGCATAGGAGGTTGCTTAAAAAACGTTTTGGTACGCATCAAATGCTTTTTGACTCACTTAAATAGGAGAACAAACTACATGGCATGCAATGCAAGAAGTAGAATACCAACTGAAAGCTTGATTTCTTCCTCCCTTCCGCTTACAAAAAAGATGTAAATGGTTTCAAATGTATCACTTGTATAGCATATAAATTTATAATCCTTCGCTGATAGGAGACTCATCATCAGTGAGCTCAGATCTTACCGTATTTCGTTCTTTGACTGAAACAGGTCCAGCAGGTCTGATTCAAGAAGTTGTCAGAATGCATTTTTAGTATGAACATTTCTTAGCTTCCCAAAGAGTTATCTGTGGCCAATCAATGGAATAGAGCATCCGCCCGTAAATAGATAATGTATTGTATAAATGCCTCATCACTACGTCACTAATGCTCCAAGAAGAGGTTAGGCCTCTATATAGTATTGAGCGCTTTCCGATCAACTGTGGTAAAACTGCAGTCTAATTAAATTGCAACAGCCAATCAATGCAAAAGAGAATATCAGAAGGAGGTAATCGCCTGAACGCGGGAAGTGGCAAGTGACCAAGTTGAGACTAACTTTTGTCTCTTTCAATTGGAGGGTTAAAAAATGTATGCAATCCCTCAACCTCGTTCCCATGGCCTTTTCCCTTACTTCCTCAAGTAAGGGAAAAGGCCATGGGAACGAGGTTGGCAATCCCTGATTATTTTCAACAATCAATTGATTTTTCCTTTGTTTTTAGCAGTGATGTATTAAGCAGTCCTAAATGATCCACCCTCTCAAGTAGTTTAGAAACTTTCGATATAATTGAAATAAAATAATCGAAATGTAAAAACACAACGTAGTAGGTGTAACGTGATGCCTTCGGAAGAAAATACGTAAATTACATGTTACAGATTTTTTCGAAAATAGGCAAAACTTGAAGCCGGTCGAAGCGAATTAAACTCTAAAAGCAGGAGATAGCAAAATAAACTTTATTCAATAATGTTTCATGGCTGAAATGACACAGCCCAGCATTTCAGTCTCTTGTCAGGCAACCTCACTGCCAATCACCGCCCGAGTCTCCCCACCCGTAACCCATTTCTACGTCAACGTTGACCTGCCACGTTTCGCACCTAAGCCGTTGACAGTCTGGTACTAGTTAGAGTTGTTTCCAATATGATGGCGGAAACTGGTGGTCGTCAGCAGGGATGTGTTCTGTCGTTTCGTATTTTTTGACAATTCCTCGTTCAGTATTCCGCAGTGGGCTAAATTCTAATAGTCTTTTACGATTGATATGGAGGAGAAATCTGGGTCTCTGGGTGCACAAGAAGAGAGAGATCTCAAGAAGTTTTTGAAATTTCTATCGCAGAAGGTACGGGGTTGGCATGTTTTGTTTTGTTTTTTTTAGATTTCTGACGCTTGTAAACTTGGTTATGGTTTTGCCAGTTTTTACTTTTAGCTAAAAATAATAGGAAATATAAGAACGTTATTCAATACATTTTCGGGGTAGATTTTTGTGAGTACCCCAAACGGAGAAAACGTAATTCTTGTCGGCATATGTTCAGTGTTATGATTTTGGAACCAAAATGTAAGTACACAAAACTGCCTGTTAAAAATGTGAAGTAAAAAGCATGTTAATTTAAGGCTAAAATTACCCAAAATTAGAAGGATTTTGCCCCTGAATTCTTGAATATTTAACCCGCGGGCGAAGTGAGAGTGAAAACGTTTTGTATATCACTGAAGCGGAGCTAGCGCCAACGAAACTCTGACGGTATGTTAAAGGCTATTTATGTCGCGTCTGTGACGGATGCAAAAGCTTCCAATATGGCGAAGCTAAATGCCCGAATTTTGTTTATGATCATTTTTTCTATCATTCTAGCAATGATGATACATCTTAATATTACCAATACACTTTTGTATAGTGGTGATTCTTTAAATTTTTGTCGGCAATGTTCGAGAATTACAACGATGGGCTCAGTTTTAAGATCTGTTAGCTTCAGAAACCCTCTAGACATAAATAAATGAGAGCTGAAACTGAAACCCAATGGAAATTAGAAAGAGAGGTTTCAGCTCCCGTGTCATTCCTTGCCTATTCTTTTAATATAATTAATTTCAAGCTGATATCATTGTTCTCAAATTTATGCTTGGAGAAACAGAGAGTGTGTTGGGAGAAGTCTAAGACAAATTAATGAAACTGAAATTGCACCAAAGAGTAATAATAAAGCCCTAACAGTCCTCTTCAATTAGCTTTGCTCCTGGAAAGGTGAAACAGTATTGAAACATGTTGAAACAGATATAGTCCTAAAGCTTGAGTAGTATTTGAATGGTTCTGCTCAGGCTGTTGTGAGTCAGTAAAGGGTAACCAGGGCAGCTTAATAGAGGTGAAAATTACAGTGTTAAAGGGGAGAAAATTTGTTACTTTGACTACTGACTACTTAATACAGGTTGACCACTTAATACAGTGCCACATAACCCACTTCCAGAAGTGATCAATATGAAACTTCTTCCAATGATATCCTTACATTATCCAGCCAACAGCTAATGAGAATATTCAAACATATAAGGTAGAAGTTGTTGACTTGATCTACCAACAACTTCTCATTACTAATTTACAAGGACATGTGTAGCAGTTAGAGGGGAGAATTACCAATCAGATCTTGGGAGTTAAAGCCGGTTAATACAGGTTGGATTGTCTTACTGAACAGATGCATGGCAGCATGGGATCTAGTTCTTAATCTGCTGAGAGCAGTTAATAGTCAGTTAAAAGTTTATGTTTTTTATCTAAGATATTTTTCTTTTATTTAAGGCAGTGCAAGTGATTGTTCAGTCACGTCTAGGAGAAAAGATTCATACCAAGTCTAAACCTACTGCAATGGGCCAAGACTGGGTAAGGTTTAAAACCTGGTAAACAGTATAATAATGTACATGAAAAAATTATGTGCTTCTGATTGGCTGAAAACAAATGCATTCTCATGTAACACAAGTGTAAAGTTAAGAATAGCCTGTGCACCCTTTTAAAATTTCATCTCTCTTGACTTTCTGCAATGTTTTTTCATGTACTTTATTAACAGGTTATAGCATGATTTCTGATGCAGTTTGGTGTAATAAGCACTTGTAAATGACTACAAATTGCACTTGCCTTGTGAGCTGCTGTAATTTTGTTGTCTTTGAAAAATTTACTTGTGTGCTTATTACTTATACTAAATGTTGGATCATTAGAAAACCATATAAATGGTAGAACACTTGAAACCATTGACAATTAATACAGCAGATATTTAGAGGAAAACTGGTATAGTTTTCAGCTTACTAGCCAAACTATAATCTTTTTTACTTGGAACATTTAAAAAGTATAACAATTTATTGCACTGACAGCATTTTGAGATTCCAAAGAAAGATCAAAGTATTCAAAGATTGTCTTGAAATGTGTGGAAACTTTGAGTACAAATTCTGGCCCATCATTTTGATTCCTGCTTCACAACAAGGCTGCTCACTTGTGGTGTAACAAAGTCTGATACCTTACTTCTTTACCTTCCATCTCTTGGCAATCTGTTTTTTTTTTACCATAATTTCAGGAGCTAAACCAAAAAAGGCATGTTTAAGTCAGGTAATTGTTAAAGCAATATTTTCTAATAGTTAAATTACTCTTCAGAATCTCAAATTGTTGTAAATAATCAATTTTCTGCACACTTCAATGGGAGGGAGAAGAGAATATTTTAATGGTGGTTTTTGTAGGGTTCTTCTCCTTTATAATTATATCTTATCTAGTTTTGCTTAATTTTCCTAATTTTAATTTTTTGAGAACATTTCTTTTCAGTTCAATCTAGCAATAAATGATAACCCAGATGTAACATCAGAGGTAAAAAAAGTGATGATAAATGGAAGGCTTCCTTCTAAAGACAGTGCCATGTGTGTGGAGATATCTCTGAAGTCTAGAGATGTAAGAGCCTTAACATTATACTGTTGTACATAGATCTTCAGTTTCCTGTTAAAAACAGGGAATGGAATGTAAAAAGTCACTGCTAAAGAAACTAGAACAAAATTAAAATCTGGATATTTGTGTCTTTGACCCTTAAGAGTGATTAGAATCCAATTTCTCCTTACATTATCCCACCTGAATCAGACATTACGGTCATGAGAATAAAGGAAATGATTGTCAACTAGAGATGTTCTTGATTGAAAAACTCTCCTTATCAGCACCTTAGGAAATATATAGAGAACAGTATGGAGAATATGCATATTGATGTTAGGTGTAAAGGATTAAGCAGTTTTATAGAGCAAAGTTTATTATAACATAGCTAGTAAATTTGTCTAATCAAATTCAATTGTGCAAGCATGCTTCATATTCCTATTGTTCATGGACATGACGTCAGCAAACAAATCCCTCATGAATAAAAATTTTCCATTGGGTTGAGAATGTTATAAAACAATTGGTTCATGCGTTAGCGTGCATTCATTGAGATATGAAGCACTTGGGAAGTTTGGAGAGCACTCAAGAAGCTAGAGTTGCTTGAGGCATAGCCTCGAGCAACTCTTGCACATCTTTCATGCTCTCCAAACTTCCTGCATGCTTCATATCTTGATGAACACATGCTAATGTATGAACCAATTGTTAATTATACTTTTACTCTAAAGAGACATGCTCTTTACTGCATGACGTAATGACTAAATCATTTGTTTTTTGTGGTGAAAACTGGTTTTCTTTTTGTTGTTAGGAAGTAATAACAAAATGCTTAATAAACAATTTGGACTTGAAATAAAAAGAGTTAAAAAAAAAAAGCATTTCACCAACATTGCTAATGGTTTGTTGTTCCTTTTATTAAAACAGGGAGAATCTATGTTGTTAGAGACATGGTGTCTTAGTATGAATGACAGGTACTGATCAGATAAAAATTATGATTTTCAACACTACTTGATTTTATAGAAAACTTAAGACTATTGAGGTTTTTTATATAACCATAATGTTATAGTGAAATGTAGAATTTTCTTTTAGGATTGATCTTAATGCCAAGGTGACATACACAGTTTATAACAGAATTGGAGTGCTTCTCAAGTCTCTTACATCAGTGACAAGAGTTACACCAGCCTATCAACTGTCACGCAAGCAAGGGACAGACTTCATTCTGTGTTACAGGTAAGAAATTTTGATTGAGTATATTTAAAGTAATGCAAGAACATTTCTTTAGGAGGAATACTCAAAGTGTCACTGGGTATGTGAAATATGGTAGAAGTAATTAGAATGGACGGCAACAGTCTTAGCATGCATACTACTTTTTTAATGGTATTATCTCCCCCGGTCAATCATTGCAATGTTGCCTGGTGGCAACATTTCATTTCTGTTTATCATGTTAAGCAAAAGGTTGTTGTCCACCTACTATGGGGGGGGGATGCTAACTAATTTTGCCACTCATAAGATTAGTTATAATCTCCTGTAAAATTATTTTTTTTGTTTCATAAGGGCAAACAGGGCAATTTGAGAGGAGAATCTATTGGTTTAACAGAAGTTACAAAAGTGATTTGGATTTGAATTTTTTGCAGGGTTTACTTTGGTGAAGTAAGGTTTCAAGATTTAGGAGAAGGTGTGTTCAGCCTTAAAAAAAATTTCATGAGTAGAATGAAAACTGATTATCAACAATTTTAGAATGTATAGATATTAGAATATCAGATTTTCTATAACTTGATGTTGTTCCTTATGTTTGTGCAGGCTTTGCTACCCTGAGAGTAGGCTCCATAGGTACCCCAGTTGGTTCCATTACTTTATCTGCTGCGTACAGGACAAAGCTGACCTTGCCAGAAAAGTGAGTAAAAGACACCACTACCACCTAAATAGTTGCATGTATTTGGAAGAGTATTTGACTTTCTTTTCTTCACAGAGGAAATGTGAATTTATCACATTTCTTATGAGGATGATTAGTGATGAATGGACAAGGCTGTGCAATTTATAATTAAAATAAATGTAAGTTTGGGTATTCTCATCACCTGTTTGCTGGAGAATGTGTGGATATTTTAGAGAGAAGTTACACGTTAATCACTTCAAAGTCGAAAGGTTTGGCCTGGCCATGATGGGCAGCCATGAAATCACATTGTTAATAGGCAGAACATTATGCTTTGCATTACATTAGCAATGGTCCTGAGGTAATAACTGACGTTCTCGTTTCATTGTTTCTCATAGACAACAAGTCATGGTACAAAGTAATCATTTCAGCTCAGAGTTGGCACAGATGCCTTCTGATCAGCAGGATGATGCTTTGCCATGTGGAGCATTTGACTTAACAGCTGAAGCGAGGTATCTGCAGGGTGTTTGTATTATGTACTTCACGAGTAAGAATTTGGACCCAGTCATATTTTGTACAATGTCATTAAACACTAGCGAAGCTTATTTAGCTATTAGGTGTTTACACTCTGGTTATTTTAGTTTCGCTTCTATTGCAAGGGTAAATTAAAAAAAAAAGAAAAGTTAACTGATTTGCTTACTTTTGTAACGGTTTTATTCTTTATTTCGGTCATCAAGGAAAAAAATGTCTGAGTTGGAAACAATCTTTTGTTCTCAGTAGTACAAACGGCAGATGGCAGATGGCAGATGGCTTTTAAGTTTCAACATTTTTGGACGTTTGCCGTTTTGTTAAAACATCTTGCGTGCTTAAGTCCTCTATCGAAATATGAAACTATCGCAAATTATTATTTTCTGTTAGGAGAGGTGTTTCTAAAGGGGGAAACTTTCCACATAAGATTGATCCTGTGACTGCCTTTTGCCATCTAGCCAAATACAGTGGAAAGTCTTTTTTTATTGCGACTTCGGCGACTCAAGATTTGATCCGGGTTGAAAAAAACTCTATATTTTCAAGTGATACTTTCTCCATGAGGGGGTTCGGTTTACTTTTTTGGAAAAAGAGACGCCACCATACTGTAAAGCTGCTCTCCGATCCTCATTTAATTCACGACAAAATATTTTTTTTGCCCTAGACATCAAATCGCAGAGGAGATAGCAAGCGCGACAGAAACGGAAGTAACCCGACCAACAACTGCATCTTCAGACACTCCTCCGTCGACAGCTCATAAACTCAGCTCAACAACTCCACCACTTGGGTTAAGGCGCATCATTCAAGAAGTTAACAGCACTGGGAAACACGAGATGAGCGGGTGATTGTCTTGATTGTCTCTGGGATACTCGTTCACTCTCTTTGATTTGCTAGTTCTTCTACAAGAAACATTCCTCCCGATATAAATCTTTCTGTCTTTTTTCCCTACCACAGACCCGGAAGTTATTCTCAACCCACTGGCTGTGCAAAAATGCGAACAAAGGGAGCCTTTGTGAGCAGTTCAGGATCGCCTGAAAATGTAAGCTAGCGTTCAACCTAGAGCCACAAATAGCCAAATTGAAGAGAACCCTTTTCTTGAGCCAGTGCTTGTTTACTTGCGCCTCCAAAAGTGATACCCGCATGAACATTGTGTATGGTCACTTCAAAAACAAGTCACGTTTGATCAGGCCGTTCGCTTTCAACTTCAAATATTTCACCAGTAATTTTCCCTTCTTGCTGCCATCCATTCCCACGTAAATTATTAGAGATTATTTTGTGTTAAGTTCAATAAGATAGCACCTGTCAGGTGATAATTTTGTATTTTCTCACCTTATGTTATTTAAACAAAATATTTATATTTAAAGGAGGAATTACACTTTTGTCTCTTCCAAGAGTAAAACGGCGTAATTAGCTCAAAAGCTAAGCTAAAGAGTATTTTTAGTGGAAGGGATGTTAAGGAGCGCGAAAAACACCCTGCAAAACGCACGTTAATGTTTTGCGTGTCTTAAGGCGAACGTTGGGCCAGTGCGTGGGCCGAGTGAATCAGGTGTGTAAAAACACCCGCGCTTTTTTCAGAGTAGGGTTAGTACCGTATTTTTTCTAAATTCACTCGTGAGACCAAAACGTGTCGTGCACGAAGCGTTTGTTAAAGTGGCTCACGAATGTTGCCATGGGCTTTTTATTATCTTGTGGGTGAATCATGTTTTCACTTTTTAAATCCTACTTGTTGTCTTTAATTCACAGTCAATGCTTACAAACCTGTCATCTACTCCACCGTTTGCGTCGCTTTTACGAAAAGAGGCTGATAACATACCAAGCGGTCTGCCGGCCTCAGATAGCAACCTGAAAAAGTCACCATCAATTCTACATAGAAGGGTGAGCAATTTACCTTTCCATAACAAGGGAAAAGAAAATTGCTAAACGGATGATTCTTACTTATATGTTATTAAGGAAAGGTGTTGATTTTTTTGTCAGAAGCGTGGGACAAAGAGGAGATCTGAGTCCTCCACGAGGAATTAGACTCCAGACCTCCTGACGTCTTATAGACGACTCACAGCTGCCAACATAGTAAGCTTAAAGCAAATTTGTATGTCTTTTGTAGGACAGTTCATCTGACAGAACAGATGGCAGCAAACCATCGACGGTGCAGTCTCCACCCTTCCCCAGTCAGCTTGTGTGGGATGATGACTTCGTTATGGTAGAACTGGTGAGTATTCTTAGTGAAGAAATATGCGTAGGTCTTGCAGCGGGTGCATGGTGTGATGAGTCTGAAATAATCTTTGCTGGAAAGGAAGACATTTTGAAGAGCTTGGTGGTCTGTTATCGCACCAGGTCTTTTTTGAGTCGGGTTTCCTCAGTGTTCGTGGGGATTGTTAAAGCTTCGAATTGATCGGCGCACTCGGGCGTATTCGGGCGCATTAGGGAGAGGGCGGAAGACCAAACGTGTATGAAAACTAGTAAACACTGGCTAGTGTTTTGGGGAAATTGTTTTCGCCATCAAGGGCGAAAAAAATCCTTATGAAAAGACAAAAATATCATTATGCCCTGAAATTGACATTTGCTCTCAACTCAAATCTATCATTTTTTTTTTTTTCAGAAACCAGCCTTCGCGTCTCATTCAGCAACATCAACCGGTGATCTTGGTAGCTTCTTTCGTGAGTGTCAGACAGCACCTCCACTGAGTTTATTTGAAGATAATGAGGTGTCATCGCTAGATAACATTATGGTGAGTTTAACCATTTGACTTCAAGGTGTGGCCGATGTGCACCTTCTTAAATGTAAAAGACCTTTGAGGCAGACCAATTGGAGCAATTTTCCATTTCGACCGGTCACTCAGGTTATACTATTTCCGCACTTGAAGAAGCTTTCGTGTTCTAACTCTGTTTTCTAACAGGTTCCTTGTTATGTTTACCTTTCTCCGAATTGGTAGTTGTGCTTTGCTTTTTTTTGTTTTCGATGTCTGACACTCGATCGGAAAGTACCCTCAGGCAAACTTTTCGTCGGAGAATATTGCGCGACATAGCATGCGATTCCAGGACTAACCAAAGACCATGCATAGCTGTCGTCGTTGCTAAAGATAATTTGCAGTGATCTTGGTAGTTAAAGTATTAACCAACTCTTAGCGTCAAATGCAATTGTGATTCAACTGGTTTTTCTCTTCTCTCAGCATCATTTCACATTTGCTTCTCTAGGACCGTTTGGATGGGGAATTGTGTAGCTTTCGTGAGAACGCTTTCAAATTTGACGAACTCTTAGCTGAGCTACAGCAGAGGTGATATCAGCTGGAGATGAGCTTGGGTTTGAAAGTAATTTGCATTAGCACAAAGGAAGGAGAGAATTCAATTCGAGGCTACCGACTGTTTTGCAAGCATCTCATGTCTCTTTGACGTCCATAGTCACCCGTAGAGCTGTTTCGTCATAAGTCGGTTTGCTTTCCAAATATGAGACAGGCACCGTCATCCACCTGCCTTGTATTGCCAGGGATTAAGTTATGGGATTTAATCTCATATAGAGGTTTTCTTTCAAACGTAATCCTTGCAAAGCTATAGTTCGAATGAAAGTATCGAGTCTCTTGGAAAATAATTTAACATTTACCTCTCGTATTGCTTGAAGGTGATGTCCGCTTGAAAAAAGAATTTACAATTTAGGATCCAGTGTTGGTTTCTAGATTTCCTCGGCATCACCTATAGCGGAAGTGATCTAAAAATAACTCTACCCTCTCTTGACTTTCAAGAAATTTGGCGGGTGGGAACAGAAACAGGAAGTTTTTAGTTAAAGTTTTTCGATATACATGACATTATGAACTTGTAATATTAAGATCTTTAAATGGCCGTGCTATAATTTTAGGATTAGAAACTTTAAAAATGAAATTGATAAGATTGCGAATCCTCTGAGATACTGCCGGCGTCACTCAGTTCTCAAACCAAAGCCTTATTGAACGATTTCTGTTCTTCGGGTTTACAATAGAATGCTTAGTACTCTCCTGGTGAGATGATTTTTAGGATATTGTTTTGAACACGTATAGTTCTTGCGATGAGCACTCTCTATATCAAGAACAACTTAGTTGTCAACAGATCTTATTGTAGACACGATGGTGCGGGTGATTGCTTCTTAATTCGATTTGACAATGGCCGGTGGAATCGAAACTTGTGATAATGTAGTTAATTATTATTTGCATGAAAGATGAAATGATGAAATTATATAAAGAAAATCTTAGTTTCCATGTGGAAATCAGGACTGTTCCGTACATGTACCATTCTCACGTCCTACTGCTGGCAATCGTCCCCGTCTAATTTTAAGTTCCGAGAAGATTCATCTTGTACCGAAGATAGCGCTCGTGAAAAGCCAAGGAAAATTTGTCGGTTATTTTTGGAACGGAAGTGATTGCCCCTTACAAGTCGTAGATTTCTCGGAATTTACGTTAGTCATCTTAAATCATCTTTTCTCTCCATGTTGATTATGTAACTTTTCATTCTCTATGGAAGAAACTCAACAAAAACAACAAGTTATCTGGTTAATTTGTATGTTTACGATTTTATCCCTATCTCCGAATAACATCACGGTTAAAGGAATAACATTAAATTAACCTTATCGTCAGTTTTAGAATGCGAACAACCTTAATATAATTAAACAAATTTAGAATCTCCCGTGAGAGGGAATATTGCACGTTATAGACTGTCCGTGTTTTGTTCTTGAAATTCACCTACAAATTAAAGTAGTTTGAGAGATTATTTTGAACAGAAATCGACGAAGAAAGGAAAATGCTGCATGGAAGCAAGAGATTTTAACTTGCTTCTGAATTTTTTATCTGTGTCTTCACGGTTTGTCTGTAAAACAAAGCCCTAGTCGGTCTCCATAGCAACCATGACGAAAGTAACCCAGTGAAAAGAGATGGTTAGTTGTCAACCGATTGTCAAGGTTGTGGAGAAGATTTATCAGCAGGTGTTTGCATTTGGGATTCTGAAAACACTTCCCTTTTGTATTGGTGGATACACGCTGGCTTCATCGCTTCTCAGAGACCACTTATATTTGTTTCCCTGGCTTAACGCTGTCGTCCTTGGCATTAATTTAAAATTTGTACCCTGTAGTTGGGTTCTCGCTTTGAAACAATGGGTCGATTCGCTGGTAAATTCTCCTAACGACGCAGAAGCCAAGACAAATATTCGAATTTTCGCAATACCAAAATTAGAAGGAGCCTTTCGTACATAAATTTATCAGCGTATCACGGACATGGACAGCAATCGGAACAGACCGGGAGAAATCGCAGCCTTCAACAGTCTTGAATATTCAGCGTCGAATTTTTTCAGCAACTAGGAGTGACTTTAAAAAAAGATAGTCCAACCGATTCGCGCCAGTAAATTTTTTATAGGCAGTTTTAATAACGGGGCTGAACTAGTGATCGATAAATCAAACGGCGCTGGCGACAGTTTTCCGCAATCGGGACAGTCTTAATTCTCCATGAGGAAAGCTGGAAAATGGAGCCTGCAGCCAGCAATGAGACGGCCAAACAAGAGCACGGCGGGGATGGCGCTGATCCAGAAGAACCCATCGAAGAACACGAATTTCAGAGGTGTTCTCGGAAAGGCCGAAGGGATGCCTGCCCGGACATTCACTGCAAGTGCGGCGATTCCAAACAAAGTGGTGAGTGTATGTTTCACAAAGAAGCTACACAAGCTGACTCAAAAAAAGAGAGCGGCGGGGAAAAGACGTGAAATTTCAGTGAGAACATTGCATTTGCCCGAACGCATTTAGTACTATACCAGTGATATTTATTTTTGGCTCGTCTGGCACCGACCTGGTGTTTGAATGCGGAATAAATTTTTAGGGAGACCTGGTGGCATCTTCTCTAAAATTTGTCGTTACCAAACCCACAGAACGAAAAAACCCGGAAACAGCCATGGCGACGTTTGGGAGTCGCGTTAAAACTCACCGAAAGAAGGACGAAGTAAAAGGATATGCGCTATGCGTCGCCATTTCTAGAAAAAACTGGAGGTTTCTTGCTTTTGTTTGAATCGTATTTCAGGAGCAGGTGATGATTGTCTAAAGAAGTACGAAATATCCATATTCGTTGTAGAATTTAACGCTTCAAGCGAACTGATGTACAGAAATATTTTTCATCGTGTTTTATTAAGCTTGATTAGCGCGGAGCAATCGTTTCTGGCACGGTATGTAGAAAAAATAAATTTTTGACTTGATTGTACAGCGCTATTTCAAACACGAATTTTTTAAACCGTATGCGACTTTTAAAATCTCAGTTCTTAAAATACTTTACTCCATTAGACCTCTTTTCAACATGGATATTGCATACCTGTTGTAAATGTTATCTCGAATAAAGTACCTTTATCTAGGACTTATAATGGTTGGCGAGTGTGAGGTTTTTTCAAGCGCAAAAAACAAGTCTGCTTTTTTTTTTTCTTGCTCGAACATTAAGTATATTTTAAGTTCAGTGGGAAAAATGAATTATTGATATTACCGATCAATTGATGACGCTTAGAATGTTTTAAACGATGAATTCTAAAATCTTAGAAAGTGACGTGTTAAAAATAGAATTTCGTTTGCGAGTATGAATGAAGGTAAATATCGTTGGCCTTTATCAAATTGTTAGAAATATTTCGTCATCAATAAAGAATAAACTTAATTTATCAAATTCACGTTACAACTTGCAAGAATTCGAAGTTTTGCTATCGTATTTTTAAATTTTCCATTGCAATTTCCATTCATCTGCATTCGTGCTTCAGGCTGTTATGTCATATCTCTCGCCGATAAACCCTTGTGCTATTTTTAGCCGTGCGGAGACCGAGTTTGCCCTTTTTGTTCAATAAATGAGATGTAAAATTGCTGGCAGCTGTTTCCAATTACCAATGTAGCCCCAGGCTTTTCTCGTGGTTATTGTCACAGTTTGAATCAGATTATGAACTGTGCAGGAAGATTTTCATGCGGTTTTGCTGCTAAGCGTATTGAAAGTTCTCATTAGAAGGGAAAATTCGGTTTGTTAGATTGTATGTAATCATCTGAGTAATTATATATATTTAAAGTTTTATGTCATCAGATATCTTTCTGATCACTGTGACTCTGGAGATATATTAGGTATTGATTATCTGGATTCATAATACACACACACACTGGCATACTCAAAATCAGTTTGAGCTCCCTGTTTTGTTATGAGACGGCATCAAATCGTTTGACGTTCTCTTGAGTCAACTTACTACAACAACGCGTCGTTTTTACGGCAGGGTGTACTGAGATTCATAAGCAATAAACATTGCAACATTTCGAGTAAAGGACAAGACATCCCTTGATGAAAAATAAATAAATGTGAACGAAATTCATCTGCTTTTCACCCAGAGAAAAAAGCAGAAAAATTTTCGATTTTTCTTTGAAGAACGCTCAGCACACACATGATGAATTATATTTATTATCCATATTTTAGATTTTGCGAAATATTGGTGAAACACGTCTTTATGTTAATGGAATAAAAGCAAGTTAATTTATTTCTTTGCATCTCCATTTTCTGCATTGCATTTCTACCTTAATTCTTTGTCTCTCCCTAATTTTTTTTCAGTCTCAAACCTTTCATCTCTTATCGATACGTGAAATTTGATTAACTATCATCTGGAGGTCCTTAAACTTCATTAACCTAGTTGAAGTTTCTTCTAAAAGAGTGCAAACGATTGGTAGACTGGAATTGCAAGCAGTTAAGTGAATCATCAACGATCGACTCCAGTTGAAGGCACGCTTGAGTCCTTTGTGCCATTAATGCTTGCAGCCAACAACCAGTCCATCCATTTCGCGATCGTGGGACCAAGTAATACCCGTAGAAATAATTTTGACTAAGTAAATTAACGTATTTCTAAACTTTCTCTATAGCGGTAGGCTATTTTAAAACTCCATCAAGCAAAATGTCGTTACGCCACACTATTAAAAAGAAACGAAAGAAATAAAAGTTATATTTGTCTCAGAAGAGGAAAATGATCACAAAGTAGCAAAGTAAACATAAGCTAAATCATTACTTTAGAAAGACGGCAAAGTTTTAGCTTCCATGATGTTTGTATAAAGTCACTCAATAGGCCTTAACGGAAAACCCAATTTCACCCCCAAGCTTCGCTGTCAAGGTGTAGACTGTTAAATTATGAAAAGAAAGTATTTCCAGAACGCCGAAATCAAAACAATAACCAGATAAGAAGAACAAAAAGTGGCAACGATGAATAAAAACTTAAGTGCAAACGAGGCCTGGGGACGAGTTTTCAGTTGACGTCATCTTGCTTTAAGAGCAATTTGGAAACATTTAGTTGCACCCTAATATCTGTTTTTGCATTTTCTTTATACTGCTCTCCGTATGTCTGTTTTTTCCCTATGGTACTAACATGTAGAATGAATTAATAAATCAAGAGATGCTTTATCAGTTCAGCGATGCTGTATATGAAGTGAGGAGGAATTTCGATCCTAGTCACTCTAATAGGATCTGGATGGGATTACCTGACAACTGACAAATGGCCAGAATTTTAACTGACCACTGACAAATCGCTGAAAATCTAACTGACAACTGACATTTGTGGTGGGCTTTTACTGATGGGTGACAAAATACCGGATCGCCCTAAATACCCTAAAAACTGGATGTGAAATAGGGACAGTTGATTTATTTTGTTCAGTAAAAGTACGATTTTTAATACATATCAGTAAGAGCGCGCCAGAGTGTAAAAACCAACTTGCAAAACCAAGCAATGCGAATAATATTGCATGCTGACCGTGAGACATGTGCTTAAGAGATGCGCGCTAAATTGCAATTAGTATCACTGCACAGTAGACGCCTTTGCCACAGTATGTTTACAAGATTATTAACAACATTAACTGCCCTAAGCAGTTGACAGGTTACTTAATGAAACGATCACAAAGACATTGTGGATCCTTCAGTGATCCAACATCATTAGATCTACCTCACGTTTAAGACTAAATGTGGACAGACCTCGTTTAAGTTCTCGGCTGCGAGTGCCTGGAACAAACTGCCAAGAGATGTACGTGAGCTCACAACACTTGCACAGTTTAAGGGCAAAACATTTACTTACCTGATGAACATGGACAGCTCCAATCACGTTTGAACAAGTTAAACGTACATTTTATTTAATCATTCTTAAATAGGTTTTGTTATTCAACTGCATGCTTTATGTTTTTTATCGACTTTTATGTATTTTTTACTGGTCATCGATTGATACCAGTCAATCACTATTGATTGACTGACCGGTCTTTAATCAGGATAAATAAAGTTATTATTATTATTATTAGTATTATTATCATCATCATTAGTGTTACATTTCGTTAATAATTACCGCATGGACCATCCACATCAAGGTCATATGTCACATATCGGTTACATGATACCCAACTCGGTCGTCAAATTACGCGATGGCCGTCAATGCTGGTATTTTAAAAGCTGTTGTAAGCTTTTATCGAATTGATACGGAAACGGCATTTGAGCGTCAGAGAAGCTGCATTCCTATCAATAATGTAAACACCGCACTGGCGCTGAAAAATCACCCTATTTAGTTCCTTGGTCTGAAGGAGTTGTCCAGTAAATATGGCCTTGGAGATTTTGATGTGAAACAATTTTGCCTTAACTTCGGACGAGCGATGGAATCTGGAGCTTCCGACCATACTGGTTGGAACAGGAAGCGAATTAAACAGTATGTATTGGAATGGTTTGGTATTTGGTATTGATATAAATAAATCAGTTAAAAGCCTACTCTGTAGCATTGAACGCCTATAGATACCGATTTATAAGCATTAAGCATAAAGAAAGCACACTTGTCTCTTCAAGATGCCGAAGACAAAGTAAATGACAACATCACAAAGACCGTTTCTGAGGTGGAACAACGGCACAGTATAAAGGAAACCAAAGCAACCAACGATTATCAACGATTATCTCCAAAACATTTAATTGTGCACATAACACACAACAGTTGTGGAGAATCTACACGCAGTTTCCCATTTTAAGCATGAGACCTTGACCGCATTGCAGTATTCCCAAGACTTTGGAATAATTACCAAGAAGTCGTTTAAGAGAGCAACAAAATGGGCAACCAAGTATTTTACTCTTGAAAAATCCTACTATCGTGTCCCCAACACCAGCACGGAGTTTGCAAATGTCAACTTTATGCGACCGCTACCTTCGGAGGAGATCGACCCCGAGACTGAAAGTGCTATGAAAGAATTTGTGGAGAAGTATCGTCCGTTGAGGCAAAGGTCAGTTCGGGAGGAAACCACCAAGGGCAAGGCAGGGGCTCCACCACTGGCCGTCTACACGAAGCAAAAAGATTCCACCAAAGTAAACGTTGTTGACGGGACTAGGGAACAATTTTAACTCTGGAGATCAGCCAGTAGGGCTCAGCTGCGACAAAGGAGCCGTTCAATCTACTTCGGAAGGTGGGAATGTGACAGATGTCACATTTGTTGACGACTGTATAGTTGAAGTGGCAGTTGGGGATACGTGCAGACGAATATGACACAGACTCAGAAAACGACCGAAAGGATGAAGATATTACTCCAATTATGGTTTCTAGATCCGAGCGGCCAATTGGCGCCCTTTTGAGCTTGGATTTCTAAGGTACGCTTACAAAAGATATCTATGATAACCTAATTGAAAATTAGACAAAAGAACATTCCTTTCCGATCGTTTCATCGGAGCCAATCACAATTGACGCATTGTGAAACAAAACATAAAACCAATATATTGTGCTAGAAGACTCTTCACAAGTTTGTTGTCTTTCTGACAATCTTCTTTCCAACATTTAGACCGGCTAAGTGGTTGAAAAGGATTGTTTCAATGTTGCGCAGGGGCAAACAGAAGTTTGGGTGCAGAAGAGTTGTAATGCCCTTCCAACAAAGACTGAAAGTCACTCGGAAGATCTTGCAATTATTTCATTCCAGAATTGATAAAAAGAATTTCCTATTGTATCAATTTTCGACTTAATTTTCGAGTTTAAGCTTTATGCCCCTTTTAATCAAAAAATAGGGTCGGAAAGTAATAATTAACTCTCCAAGTTAATTATTAACAGTTACTTAACTGACAAGTAACAAATGGCCTAAAATCTGACTGAGAACTGATAAATGGCCGAAATTTTAAGTGACAACTGACATCTGTACCCCCCCATCCAGACCCTCTAATGGATGAAGAGTTAACAAAAGTGTATTTATAACCATTAGTTTTACAATAACTTGGCCGAAAGAGAAGCGGAGAATTGAGTTAGGGAGGGATATAAAGGGAATTTTTATTAGCGGAGCCGAGATTACCGATACCATAACTAGTCCAAAAATTTTCCTATACATTTGTGAGTCATTCTTCAGTGAGACATAATGAAAACTTATAGCACCAGTGGTAGGGATGAGGAATGTAGCGAGCGAGGAGATTATAAACCGTTTATAATCTCTTGGGCGAGGTGAAGCGCAGTCGAAAAAATATATAATGATGATGATAATACCATCAAAGTGGACGGAGGAGGCTAGTGATCGATATTTACCCAACCACTAATCGGCGAGGTAAATGTCCACCTCTAGCCGTCGACACTAATTATATAAATCCTAGGGGGGGGGGAGCTGGATGATTTTGGCTGTATCACGATAAATTTACCTGATTTTCTTCCCCTTCCGTTCTCAAAGGCTCTCATGGCCCCTCCCCCCCTCTCCCCCTCCCCCTTGCTCCTGCCTCGCCCCCTCACCGGCAGTTAATTGGCCATCGATTTGCCATAGTTTCCCACTTATACTATGTTAGCGACGACTGATCCCCTCTTCATCCCCTCTTAAAACCATGTGTCTTCCCCCCTTAAAATCCTCCACATCATCCCCCTCTCCCCTGCCACAGGCAATAAATAAGCAGGATGATGATGAGCCTTAAAACAGTGAGATCAGCAGAGCACAAAAAGATGTTTTAAACTCATTTATTTCTGCAACGATTGTAAGATTTTCGGACACGAGTTGCCCGGGAGTGAGTCAATATTCTAAATATGTATGATTACATATATTTAGTTATACATTTATTCTCAAAGCATTAACTATAAGTGGAAAGGAGAGATAATTACAATTAAGAGGTTATTTCTTTATAGATAGAGATTCGTTAACAGGAAAGGGTAAATCTTATTATCGTATGATCCGTACAGCTCCTTACAATGAAAGCTCACGTCTGTAGGGCAAGACGGGTTAACGCAGGTTTGGATTAAGCCGTCCGGCCCCGCGCCGGCTCGGCTTTGTTGAATTTTCCGAGAATGTGAGGTCTAAAAATGAGATGAAAAAAACGAGCCTTGTTTTTTCCGATGAATTGTGAGTTTCTTGTTCTGACACGAAAAAATAAGGTCAAACAGCAAAAGAGAAGTTTATCATAGACTGGATTGCCCAATACGAGTTCCTGTTATGCATCTAATTGCTTCCTTATTAGATTTTAACATTCAAACATGATTTTAAATTTTTTAAGACCTAGAGGTCAAATGATAAAATACTTATTGACTGAGCTTGGTCAGGCGCGGACGGGAAAATATTTGGCTCTCCGCCATTACGCCCAGACTCGCTGGTCTCGCTGCACTCGGTCCGTAAGTCATGACCTCGGGTCAAATATTTCTTCCGTGCGGACCTCCCACTCTGTCAATGAGCAAATATATCACGACGAAGTTTCCCAAAATGTTTTCAATTGTCTATAACTTAGAAAATAGACTACGAGCGGTCCCTGCTTTTCTGAGACGACTGTTGTGGGAATCAAAATAGGTAAAAAAATTGATGTTCACGCGGAACACCATTTTTTCTTCACTGATTTGTTTTGAATCGAGCGACAGTCTTCGCCGAAAAGGAGGGACTGTTCGTAATCTATTAAGACAAAGTCTTTTACTAGTTTCCCGATCTCTTTGTTAAAACTGTTCCGTTCGTGCACTGTTTCATACTTAGTTACCTTCTTTGAATTAGGACATATCCAAAGCAATACGATTAAAGCCAAATGTCCGAAGGTCGCGGTGTCGCATCTAACCTTCTTAAAATAAGCCCTAATGTTACCATTGTGATTATTTTTATCGCATGAAAGTGTTACTGGCAGTAACATTTTTATTATTGTATTAGATAAATTGAATTGGGCAATATCCTGTCTGTATAAGTAAAATCCAAAACCTCAAGATATGCCACTTGATAGTCCAGACTACTTACGGCGAAGCACTACGGGGACGGAAACGAGAACGGCGTGTTTCTAAATGTTGTATATTATCAAATCAATCAATGTCTTATAGAACCGAAAGTTTTTCTGTGCCGAGATCGGGAACACCGCTGGCAAATTATTCACCATCCTCACCTATAAGTGAGGGCTAGCGTCCTTCGAAACGTTAAACACGTTAACCGCAGTTTCTTTAGCACGCAGTTTGGTTGAGAGATTGTAGCTCGTTTCTAAATCGACGTTCTCTCAGTATCACCGTCACCCCTGCCATGTCTGGATAAACACGCCCCTCGCACCCAGTGCTCACAAGTGCCATAATCTTGAGTTAGTCATTTCTTGGACATCTTAAATACGGCGAAAACAATTCTCGCGTGTAACTTTCGCAAGGAGTAATTTCGAGGATTGGTCAGAGCGTAAACGTTCGTTTCAGGTTTAGAAAGAACTCATATGGGAATAATACGGAAGGTATGTCATGATAATAGCGCGTACGATTCTTGTGGGCGAGTAAAACTGTACTTGGGAAAACCTTGACGGTTTGGACCAATTGATTCGAGGGCACATACTACAGAAACGATACCTAGGTTACTTTTTCCATAATGAACGATGCTGTAACAAGTCCAAAATCAATGGAATAGTAATAAAAAAAAGAAAAGTAAAAACAACTTAAAATGTTCCATCAAACTAATAGATTTTATTGATCTCCAACTGCAAGTAAATAAGAAAGTTAACGGTAAGACTTTTGGTAGCGTGAGCGGGCTCCCGGTCCACCGAATTTCTTGGCCTCTGCACGGCGTGGGTCAGCCACTAACAGGGAACGGTCGTACTGAACGAGGATGTCACGGATCTCCTTCTTGGACACCTCATCCACATCTGACAAAGAAAGAAAACATTTCCAAATAAGTTCCCAAAAAGTGAGCAGCATTGATGAGTCTAGGACCCACGAAATTTGAACAACAAAGTACATGAGAGCGTACAAGTCAACTGACTGTTTTAGAATCAATTTCACAACAGCCAATCAGAAGAAAGGAAAACGTCACAGGGTTCCCATGGAAATGCAAAGTAAAAACAACCAAGCTGCTTTAAATGAAGCAAAACACCATGACCAAGTTACAATTGGTTGCATTTTTTGAATCTGATTTGTTGAGAGGATGGTGCGAATTTAGGGACCAATCTCATTACAAAAAAAAAACGAAAAACAAAGCAACCTGGATTACTTTGAACACTTTTACACTGTTACTTTGGCTGACATCTGCACTCAATCCAACATGATGAAACATGACAAAACAAAACCAAACAAGATATATTTGAAAATATATATTTAGTCACTAGAAAATGTTTGATCATGATCACTAGCCTAAAATTTCCCATTTTGTCAGTGTCTAGTATAAGTTAAAGCAAATATCGCCATAGAAAAATAAAAAAGCTGCAGGGGTAAAGTTTTACATCACAGTTTTAATAACAAGTCTAGCTTTTGAACAAAGTACTACTATACTCACATTTTTGGTAATAAGCTACCAAGGCCTTGGAAATGGCTTGACGGATAGCTGTGAAAAGAAAAAAAATGCCTGTTACAACTTTCAACCATGGGCACTTAATACACAGCAACAAAAAGATGTACTGGTAAAATCCCTCCCAAAAATACACTATACAACAACAATTGCCAATCAGTAAACCGCTGACACTGCTTAATGTTAACGCCAGATCATACCAGAACTTCACAAATACATGTATAATGAGAAGTGTCCAAAAAATCTACACCTGGAGTTTGTACACCCTGTGTGTACGTCTTGACATCATAAATTTACATAGAATGAAATTCAAATCAAGCCTTGTGTATAATAAAAAAATATTGTGGCTTTTGTACCAGTTTTGGTTTAAGATTGTTAAAAACAAGTTTGATGTTTATATTCATTTTTTTCACATCATAATCAAAGACAAAGGTTAATAAGAACACAATCAGTATGGAAATTTTAACCCAACAAAAACTTCTTAAACTTGTGTGTAAAGTTTGTGCTTCAACCCTTTAACTCCCAGATCATATTTGTAATTCACCTTAGTGTCAACCATACAATTGTTAGGATGTTAGTTCAGAGAATTCAGTGTTGGATCAACTAATTATTTCAAAATTGATATTTTTCTTTATTCTCATCACTCATCTGGTTAATATGGTATTGATATTGTAAGGAGAAATTCTGTCTTGGTCACTAATGGGAGTTAAAGTGTTAAGAAGGACTTACCATAGATCCTGGATACATGTCCACCACCTTTCACTCTGACACGGATGTCAACACCTTCAAACCTCTCCTTGCCAAGAAGAAGGATTGGCTCCTGAACCTGAAGTACAGAAACAAATTAACCCTTTCACTCCCAAGATCTCATTAGTAATTCTCCCTACTGTCTGCCATACAATTCCTATGATGTAAGTTTTAGAGAATTTGGTATTGGATCAACTAATGATCCCCTAATTGATATTTTTTGTTATTCTCATTACTTGTTTGTGTGATAGTGTATTGATGTTGTAAGGTGAAATTATGTCTTGATCACTCATGGGAGTTAAAGAGCTACCCACTTCTATCTCCTGCTGGCCGAGTTCTGTTAAGTTCTCAAGGTTAACACCAAACATTTGGTAAAATAAACAAGCATTCATCAGTAGCTATCAAATATAGCCTGTAGCTGGCTATGGCTTCATGCTAGTCTCTCAGCTTCAACCTAATAATTTCACTTCATTTTCCTATTATTGATGAAGAAAAGGTGTACAAATTTTGAAATACCATTGAACAAAATGCTGTCGAGATGCCTGGGACTTATTCACTTAATAGTTGCCAGTCTTGTGTGTAATCTGACAACACAGGATGGTGTCTGTGATAAACTTTGCTTCCTCAGAGAAAGCCTGAGGCCCACTGATTGCATAAAACTGTGGTTTGTGTTAGAATATTTGTAAATAACCAGCCCACTATCTTTATGTACTATGTGGTTGACTTGAGTAACTATGACAACTGTTTTAATGAACTGCTTGGATGTGATGATACTTGGTGCTTTCTGAGGGCATCACAAATCAAAATGCTAACAACTATCCTACCTTAAGGAAAAAAATTTTGGTATATTTTTATTACACAAGTCAGCTATTTCGTTCATGTCACATACAAGAGCTGGCACTATCAGGACTATTGATGCATATTTATGTGAAAACCTTGAAATAACTCTAGAATAGGTATGTCTTAAACATGTACAGACCTTCATGCGAAGAGTCGAAGGTTCAACTAAGTGCAGTGGACATCCATTTATCTTGATCAAGCCATTTCCACGCTTGCAGAAGGCAACAGCAGTGGCTGTTTTCTGAACATAAGAATTAAGGTGGTTAGTTAATGTGTCACTTCACAAACTGTCTTAACAAATGATTTTCAGAGATCACGAGAAAAAATGAACTAAAGCAATATATGTACAACCCTCTTTCAACTACCACCTTCCCACAATGCAAAACTTTGGCAGAGATTTAACAACAAATTTTGAGTCAACAAGGGGTACAGCGAGAGCCAAATCTAGTGATTGTTCTAGTGAGTTCCATACTAGATTGTATCACACTACCGGTAACCATACATTTTTATATCTGCATAAAATATAATCAACACATACAGAATACCACAGCTTTATTTGAAAAATCGCGTAGACACAGCCAGGTTTAGGGCAATAATTCCTCCTTGCACGTTGAAAATATTCATTCACAAACCACAGATAATTCATAGCCAAGTAAATGCATCCTCCAGCAAATTGCCTGGCAGTATTTAAGTTGAATTTACAAATAGAACTAAAACTTGTATCGACGACATTTAATTTTTCAAAATTTTTAGTTAACCAAGAAATTTCAAGATTTTTCAACTTGATGGATGTCAAAAGAGTTTAGAAACAAAAGGGAGTTATTTAATGTCGAAATTAAGTGACAGAATAATGTAGGAAGTTAGAACTGAGTCTATTTTTCTACTAAAGAAAACCAAAGACGTGCTAAAAATTAGCCAGATGTTGTTTCGAATTTCAGAAATTAAACTTCGAATAGAAGTCTCATAACAAATATTTACACCCACTATCATAACTGCACACGGTAACTGACACGAATATCCGTGACTTTCGATTAACGTCCTTAACTTCAGATGTTAACGAAATCTAAAAAGGCAACTACTGTGCATCAAATTCACAGCCGCCATATTTGTATACACGTGTTACCAACAAACCTAAATTTTTCGCAAAAATTCTCTACATTTCTACTAACCTTTCGTCCAAAAACTTGTACTGATTGACTCATCTTAAAAGAAACATCAAATATCGCAAAATCAGAAGAAAATCGAAGCCGCAATAAATGAATATTATCAAATTAACTAAACCAAAATTCTCTACCTTTCTGATGTCTCGAGAGAGTCGAAGCAAATGGGAGAACAGTTAAGGCGCATGCACCAATATGGAGAAAGACATAAAAACGAGGCTACAAAGAAAATCAGGAATTAAAAAAATGGGAAGGACTTCCATGAAGGAAGTCACGGAAAAGGGAAATGCCACACTTGTAAACTATTAAAACTCTGCTTTGTAGACGCGATGTTTATTCGAAAACGTTGTCAATTCAATAAGTGATTACTTGCACTCTTCTCATCTTGTCTGAAGTTTATAATTAATTCAGATGAAAAAAGTATCATAATATAGTCCTTGTTTCCCCAAGCAGTCACTTCCGATGTGGATTGTGACGTTTCGACGTCTCGACACCATCGTCAATCAGTAAAATATGTCATTGTTAAATGTAATTATGAATCCAGAATTTATGTAACGAAACCCCCAACAAATTGTGCGCGTTTTGTACTAAGTCGGAGACTACGCTACTCGTTTTCATTTTAAAAAAAATTATTTGTCGGTAAAAAGTTTTGAGCATTTTTCGGGCCTTTTGAATCTAGAAACATTTCCTGCGTGGGTGGAAATTTAACAAGTGGATCAAAGTCAGAAGGAATTTAATAGTAAAAAAAACTTCCCAATGACCTTTCCAGGCACTCCTCGGGAACTTGCACTGAGCTTGATACGGCAATTCTCTCATACTCACTATGGGCAACTTTTCAACTTCTTGTCAAAAATCAGCGACTGATGGGGATGATATTCCACAATGGCTCAGTTTGCTGATTGTGTTATCCGTAAGTTCATCGGTTTTCCTCGGGTTAGCGATAAACTGTAATCCATATCTGACCAGTGAAACTGGTTACGCCGACGGAGGGGATATGTATTCACACCAGATAGAAATCCTCTACCTGAAGGAAATACTACAAAGTGGAGCGACGGATTTTTGGTTCGACGAAGTCACGTTAGGTTACCCGTTATTCCTCGCGTATAGCCCATTTCCGTGTTTAGTTACATCCATCACGATGATCCTCACAGAATCGTAAGTAGCTACTACTTTCCATCCTTTCCGGATCAAAACTTTAAGGTAATCGGCAACTTGGGGTGTATTTGAACCATGAATAGTGGAGGTGATTTGTTAGAGGAGAAAACAAATATCAAATGGAAAGAAACATTGCTACAGGTTGAGTTTGGGACTCCATGATAGAGCATAACCTCATCTGTTTGTGTTGGCACATAATGACTGAATAATAACACAGTGGAATTTTTCTGTAGGTCAGAAACTTCAAAATGATTCTCTAAAGCATGAGAAGCTATCCCATTCGAGACAATGTTTTTTCTGTCTGTCTGTTTGTCTGTCAGACATTAACTATTTATTAAAATAAAATAAAAAAACACACGCACAATGTCACAGTCTCAGTGAACAAGTTGTCCTATTGTGTCTCCCTGAGTAACTGCCTTCAGTTTATCTTGTGCAGAGTGAAAAACATTCCAGTTGCTTTAAAACTGGAAAAACGTGGTTTAAATTTAGTTATAATATTGAACTTTATGATGGATTCGATCCAGTTGTATTGTCTTCCACTCGTTGAGGCAAAATTTAGCAAATGTTTTTGAAGAAGCAAGCGAGAATCTTAGATTGAGTTCAAGTTTTGCCGAACTCTCGATAAAGATTTTAATATACGATGGAATTTAAATTTTCCAAGGCGAAATAATTGTCACGTAGGTTCAGTAAAAGTTCGTAATCGCAAGAAATTCGTGCATGAACTTGAGTGAACGAAGGAAACGAGTTTACGACAGCCAAACCCGTGGAGTTCGAAACCATGATAGCCAAATGTTTAAGAGAACTGAAACATGTTAGAAGGGACTTTTCAGAAGAAAAATGGGAAGACTTGAAGATCTGACACACTTTTAACAAGATTCGAGTGCCAGATGGACTAAAATAGAATGTGTCATCTCAAAAATAGATGATATTGACCATTTGAATGTTAAAGTGAAGAGGAAGAGGTTCAGCTATGAAGGGTTTGATAACCTTCATGATCACGAACGAACATTGAGAGTATTCGGACTTTGAACTTTTGCAGAGATCTCACTTCCGAAATTTCAAAATCCTAGGTGTCCCTGAGCAGGAAGATGGTAGACTGCACAGCCATGTGTTAATATCTTTGTTTCTTAGTTTCGATTACACCTTGGGTAAAAGAAAAGACCAGGGAAAAAAGAGGAAAAAAGGGCCTCGTTTGCCGAAATAAGCTTGAGTAAAGACTTCACCCTTATGTATTGATCTTCGCGAAAACACTCCAACGCTGGTGTGAATAAATTTTCGACGAAGGAAGAAGATTCTGATTAACAGAGGGAAAACTATTTGTCGATGGTAACGCAGTTCCTGTGAAACAGACCTTATAATTTTTCTCGATAGTGTTAAATTTACTCGAACATATTTGTTTTCCCACGGAGAGAAAGCAACTCAATGGAAAACAACAATAGTTGGTTTATTCATGCTCAGAATACGTGTGCGATGTCACACGGGCGCAATTTCTAGAGTGAGAAAAACTGTCTATATATATACATATATATATATATATATATATATAAATATAACAGTATCTGTTATCAATGCACTATTCTTGATTAAACCTTGAACGTATTATACAACCTTTTAACTTCCAAGAGTTATTTGTCGTGGCAACCCTTTGGCCCAAATTTGGCGATTTTTCAGGTTGACCAGATCATATGTAACCAAATTTATTCTACCAAAGGTAATTTTTCTTTTTTTTATCTCTGAATCTTCTTTGCAATACCAACAAAGAAACAAGCAAACATTAAATCTTCATTACTCGCAAAAGGTATTTAGTGAAATAATAAGAAAAGCAGGTAATTTCTAAGAAAATAGTTTGATCGCTGCTGGAGCCCAGTGGACAGATGAGTCGTGAGGTTCTCGAACTAGTAACCCCTTACCATTTAGAGCGAGTTCTTTATTACTATAAAAAGAGTAACAAGAGAGAAAGAAACCAGACTCATCAGATATACAGCATTTCTCTGACGTAAGACAGATACTAGGATTTCTATTCAAGTTACTTACGGTGTTGTTCTGACATGAATAACGTTTAACTTCAATGGTAAAAGAAAATATATTTAGGCTTTCCAAATAATACGAAATTTCTTTCCTAGAGATCCATTGTCTGACATGAAAGCATTTTTTCTCATGTTGATTCAAGAATTTTGAGGATGAGGGTTGCATAAATTTTGCTATGACGCATGCATTGTGTTGTATTTAGCTAAAGGCATAATGAAAGATGTTATCAAATACACTTAGCACAAGCTCTTTCTGCCATCACATAAACGCGCACACTTTAGAGTGTGGAAACGATAAATATTCTGTTAGGATTACTAAAAGATTTAAGTAAAGGATTGTACTCTTTGTGAGAGGCCCAGACGTAGTTGTAAGGAACTTAAGTTGCATGACCATATTTTGTTTAGATTGTAACTTTCGAAATACTTACTGCATTTTGCCTCCTTTCAATAGACTGAATCCAAATTGTAGCATTTCACTACCAAAGATTATTGACTAGTTACTTACTACACCCATCCTTTGTTCTGTAAACAACACAGAAGCTGCTGGAGCGATATCATTAAAGAGACACATTCATAACGAACTTACTTGGACAACCACTTAACCGAATTCAAGTGATATAGCACAGAATGGGCATGTTCACTAAATGCAAACTGTACAGTAAAAATTTAATCGATCAAATCGGTTGCGGGGTAGACATAGGGAAACTGGGATATCTCAGTTCATTCCCGGTCTGTTCGTTTCTATCAAGCAGAAAAGCTCAAAGTAAATTACCACTTTAAATTAAGGATACAAGTGGGAATGACTATAGACACCATGCATTGAAGAAGCAGAGGTCACTTCCTCCCATTCAAAGTTGATCCGTCTGGGTCATTTTTTTTAGACGAAGGCAAGGATAAGCCTGATCAATACTATTTAGTGGGTGATCAAAACCATCCCCTCATTTACTAAGTGAATAGGTACAAAAGCACAGTCAAGTGTTTCTTTCTTGCTTTCTCTTAGCGCGCATTTCGATCGGGAGTCGTAAAACCAGAGCCAAAGTAATCAGAATAAAAGGAAGATATCACAAAGAGCCCTTGAGAACCGAAAGTAGAAACAAGCAAGCTGTTTTAGGCGCGGGGAAATGCGAGTGAACAATTCGTGATTAATTTTATTTTTGAATCTGATTGATCGAGAAGGTGGAGCAAAATAACGCGAAACCAAAACAATCCCGGATTAGTTCGACTCAATTAATAATTGCTCTATTGCTCTCTACAGAAGGACCCATTCCTCATAGTTTACGTTTCTAGCATTGTAAGTAATATAACAGAATTAAACGTTTTGATGCTGATTTCAGGGATAAATTGAATTTGAATACATGTAGATATTTCGGGGAGAGGTCTGGAGGGAGGTAAGCTATAACCTCCTCTCTGTGGAATTAACCCACTCTATTCTGTTAAAAGGTTCATCAGTCCCTTGTTGTTGTTTCGGTGGATGTACCTTGCTATTCTCTCAGCAATGCCCTGGACATGGTTTGTTGGATTGCGTAAGCTAGGATTGACACGATTGGAGTCGTCTTTGGTTTCCCTTTGCGTGTATTCCATATCTAGTTGGCGAAAGTTTGGACTGGAGTTGGAAGCATTTCAGTATTATGGACTTTTCACACAGACTTACGGAATGGCTATATTTCCAATGGCAGGTGTGTACTCTCGTCTTATAGAGCAACTATCATTTAGTGTCGAAATACTAAGCATGCATTTCAAATGAGTTTTGTGGAACCAAAATCCAATTGATCACAGAGGCTAATCGGCCAATAAGCTACGAAAGCCGAGAAGGGACTTCAATTCAGACTTCAGACTTCAGACTTCAGACTTCAGACTTCAGACTTCAGACTTCAGACTTCAGACTTCAGACTTCAGACTTCAGACTTCAGACTTCAGACTTCAGACTTCAGACCTCAGACCTCAGACCTCAGACCTCAGACCTCAGACCTCAGACCTCAGACCTCAGACCTCAGACCTCAGACTTCAGACTCCAGACTTCAGACTTCAGACTTCAGACTTCAAATTTCAGACTTCAGACTAAGTTTAACGTTAAATCGTGCGCCCTAAAATTAAACATTGCACATTATGTTTGGCAGGATTTGCCTAGCACTTTCTGTTTGTGGGTGTTTTACTGTTCAGATCCCAATTTGAACGTGATTTATATTGTAAACGTTTAGTACATTAGTAGTTTATTTCTGAGTCTTGTTAAATCCTTGATGAAATCTGTGTGATCAGACGAAACCAGTCGGATAATAAACAAAGTTGACAAGATCTGTTGCTGTGTGCTGCCCACTAGTTTTTTATTTAAAAAATTTTAAAAAAATTTATAGAAAAATTATTTAAAAAAATTTCCGGAAGTCGGAAGTCGGAAGTCGGAAGTCGGAAGTCGGAAGTCGGAAGTCGGAAGTCGGAAGTCGGAAGTCGGAAGTCGGAAGTCGAAAGTCTGAAGTCTGAAGTCTGAAGTCTGAAGTCTGAAGTCCCTTCTCGACTTTCGTAGCTCTCGCTCTGAGTATTCTTCGTCAAACATTGCGCTCAATGTTACCCCATTGACAAGGATAGACTGAGCTTTTGCGCGATGCGACCATCTTACTTGACACGTTGGAACGACTTCCACAGTTCACGCAAGTTTACCTAGAGATGAAGTTGTGAGATCTGAGATTGTAATCCTATTAACATTTGATTCACAGTTTTCATATTCCAATTTCTATCGTATAAAATTTATTTTGACTATAGTTCAAGTGCTTGCTTTTAATGAGGTCTTGTTTTCCATTTCAGTTGGGTTTCTGTATGAGTACATTATTTATGGCCTTGGCTCAAGAAATACAACAGTGCTACTTGTCGTCCTCAACTTCACTGCGCATGCGTTCTTCGGTATCTATCTTGGCATAGTGACCGGAGTAACTTTGGTGGTAGAACTCTTTAACAATCCACTGCCTCTCGCAAAGAAACTGCGGTCACCTTCAATCTCGCGCGCATGTTCCGTACACTTTATAACTGTTGCATTGTTGTCGTGGTGGATCATCCCAGTGTTGGCAAATTATGAATACATGGGAGGTTTACCTTGGAAGCGTGACAGTGAGAACGGCTACAAGGCTGAATTTGTTCTAAGAAAGTTATTCTCAGGCGAATCTTTTGACCATGGAAGAAAATTTCCATTTATTACTGTCGGAGTGGTAGCGGGGTTAGCTTGTGTTTGCTTCACATGGCGAAAGAGTGACAGGAACACACTATACTATTGCGCTAAACGGCGAATGATTCTTAGTTGGCTCGGTGTGCTGTTCTGTGCGACTTTTTTGCTTTTTTTGGGGAGAACATTTTCAGGTCCGTTCTTTGACTTGATTCCATTTCATGAAGAAATAGAAGCCACTCGCTATTTGAATGGCATTCATTTCTGTGGACTACTATTGATGGGCGTTTCATTTTCATGTTTCCTTCGTTTCTTTTGTGCTACCTTGTGTAGAGTTTCGAAAGGGTTTTTCAAATGTCGCGTCGTCTTAATTGCGACGATGCTGGTCATAACACCGGTTTTCCTCAGCTCTCGACTACAGAAAATTAATAACCTTCTGTCGGTGACCGAAATCCAGGATCTACCTGAAAGTCTAAATGAGTTGAAATCTCATCCAAGCGATGCACGGATTCTGGCAAAAAAAGTGTTGGGTGAGTAAATGTTTAGTATTCTGTTTTAGTCCGTAGTTTTGCGGCTTGCCTCCTTTTCCTTGCGACGTTTTCCTTGCGTCCCATCCAGTGCACAATAATTCCCGCCCAGTGCATGATGAACTCTTGGAAACCGGAATAATTTTCGTTTTTCCACAGGTACTGGTGATCCTTTGACTTTAGCTCTTCTACCTCACTATAGCAGAAAGCCCGGTGAGTCCTCAAATTCAAATGAATGGCAGCCAAGGATCGATTATAAGACTAAACAAATTTGAAAATAGTATATATGAATTTATTAATAAATTTTGGAGTGAGTAATCAGCGCGGAACATTCGTGGATTTCGACGCAAACGACAGCATACCCCTGCCCCGTCAAACAACCACGTGCACTTTGTATCAATACCTTGGAACGAAGGGTAAAGTTAGGAAACCGATTCGATGAACATAAAATTACTTCGTATTTATCTACATTCGAAATTTAAGAGGGATCTTTGCAGGTCTTCAGACCGAGAGATCTGGGTTCAAGTTCCAACCGGGTTATCAATGTTGCCTCTAAAGGTAATAACACTCTCCACGAAGGAACGTAGGTAGGCATCAGTGAGTTATCCAGTAAGGATAGTGGGGATCTGGCTAAAAAAAATAATAATTTCGTCTTGCAATTCTCTTATTTGTTTCGTTTTACGGAATTGGGAAATGCCCCAGGTCGTGCATGAGGAAAAAATTTAATCTTGAATTTGACAATTGACGTTATGTTTCTAACTGTGTCCGTTCTGCTATATAGGAATTCTCACCTATTCCAGAGGCTATCACGATTCATTGTCCCTCTACTATTTGGAGGTATTTCAATTCAGTCTCGAGACAATACCTTGGTCTCCTGATTTGTTACGTCTCTACAACATTCGTTTTCTCGCCACATCCGGGATCGCGTTACCTCCGCACTTCCTGAAGGCTTGTCAGCTAAGGCACCTGGCCTTCGTAGGAGACATCGAAGTTTTCGTCAGAACATTCCAAGAGAACTATGGATATTTTGAGTTTGTTCATGTACCCGGCGCTGTTGTGGGTGATTTAAAAGGCATGCGCAAGGCTGTGTCAATATCCACCCAGCTTTTCACAAAGAGAGCTGTATTCGCCGTGAATCCTCTCAGCGCATTCAACAATCCATCCTTCAAAATTGTTGTTTCCAATAAAAATTCAGGGGGAAACTTACTCAGTTTTCTCGCTGCAGAGGAGTTTGAGATAAAGTGGTTTGTTACCAATAGGCAAGTAAAAGAAAAAGCTTTCTTAGAGGATGCAAAGTTTGGGCTCCACCCCGGAGGTGTTTCCTCACGAGTTATGCAAGAGGAAGTAGGAAGGAACTTTTATAAAGCTTATGTCCATGTAGTTGACCGAGCATGGAGTGAGGTATGTTTTTTCCGTTTAAGTATTGAGGCATACCATAAATTCCTGATTAGATCATCCTTCGAATAAGCTTCCCCTTGCTATAAGCCCTTCTCACATCAGCCAAAATTCGAAAATAAGCCGCTGCTTCCCCCGGCACTATGGTGATCTGGGTCACTATTGGGTTCATATCCTTTTATCCTCTGTTGTTTCATATATGACACACGTCCCACATACTGCTAGCTTCTGCAACGTTAATTGAAAGCTTCGTGCGAGTGACGAGAATAAGATGGATAGCGAAAAACACATTTTCTAAAACATGGCACTCCCTTGAAAAAGCTACCGAAGTTTCATGATCCTAAATCTAAAATAAACTCCGCGGACTTATATTTATAAGTTAGTTGCAAACAGACTGGAATTAAACAATGGAAACTAAATCATAATGTGATTATAAAAGATTGTGGTCCTGGGCATTAAACTAAGCATCCTCAAGTTATTTCACTCTTTGTTTTCACAGAATTTCTACAAGACAGAGCACCTTCTTCTCAAAGTGACTTATCACCCTTACTGGAAATGCGTCTTCCAATCATTAGCGGACGCAACTGACAGTACACGTGACTGGCTCGAGGTTCCCGTGCATCACGTGACACCCAACCTGATGAGTGTAGTTTTACCTCCTGGGAAACATCACGTGATCTGTCAATACAAGAATCCCATTTATCAGAAAGTCGGTTTCATTTTGTTTTTAGTGATATATATTACTTTATTTTTAAAAGAGGTCAAATTCTTTTTTTGTTTTTTTTGAGAAAAATATCCTCATTTGGTTACTTTCTCAGTTGAAAATGTGAAAGAAGGTGACTCATAAAAAACAGTTAATCAAACAATAGTGTTGATATTCTTGGGCACTCATATGTTTTGGGCCCGACTCAGAGTCATTGTAGCCCGAGCCGCGAGGCCTGGGGTAAAATGAGCTCTGAGAGGAACGCAAAACATGTTTATGCTTGAGAAAATAAACCTTATTTCTGCTATTTCTTTGGAGGCATCGAGAAGAAAAAATCTGAAAAAAATGACCAAAAACACGGTCTGAACAATCACGCAAGCCTGCGAACGGGCTAACATGCATTTTAGCGTGTTCAAATTTCCCATTTCACCCACAAAATGCTCCACAAACGCCTGACAAAGAAATTATACCTCCAGATATCTAAACAATGTGCATAATGATTTTTAGCAGTTACATTCACGTCTAGCGGAATATTTTTTCAGATGTTAGGTATCCAAACAACAGGTAACTCAAACGTCTATGTTTGCGCTCGAAAACGTATATTTTTTATTCATTTAGACTCTCTGTCCGTATACCTACGCTAACGATGTTAGCGAAGATGTAAATGTGTATATTCGATTTTCGAAAAATGCTCCCTAGAGTGTAAGTAATCGCACAACGATAGTGTTGATCATCATATTAAGTTTTGAACGGATGTGTAATTATTAGATTTTAATTCAGCGTAACTTGTAACCGGCTAAAGACATAGATGCATTAATGATAAGTGTTCCCTAGACATGAGATAAATTTTGTTCAAAGCTGGGTTAAGGTAACTCACGGTTAGTGTGAAATTTGGTTTCAGGTCCGAAGCTTTTAAAAGAAATTAAGTTCAATTCTCTTTGTTTGCAATTTGATCATTGTATGCTCTAAAAAGAATCGGGAAAATTTTCCCTAAAAGGCTTTTGAGCAAAGAAATAAAGAAACCTGGATTAAAATTTTACCCTGGGTTAGCGCTAATCGGCCTTCGAATAACTTGGCTCGGGTCGTATTTGTTGGACACATTACCAGTAAGTGTTACGTTTGTTATTTAACCGTTCCAGGACGGGTTGACCAAAGAGTGTTTTATGGCACGATTCAAACCACCATCTGAAGGATAAAAGTTGTCAATCTAACCATTAATTTTCTAGAAAACCAAACACTAGAATTTCGCCCTCGTACCAGGTGTAAAGGAGTACATTCAACAATTGAAACAACAACAAAACAAAGCAAAACGAATTGAAGAAGAAAAAATTGGATCGGTAGTTGTTGGTAAATTTCCCCCAAATAGGCTGTAAGGGTACAGTTTACAGTCCACTGGTCTGTATATGCCGCCCTCAAAGAGTAAGATGAGTTTTCAGCCATTTTAGTACCACAACAGGAGTAAATTGAAACCATCATAGTCTTAAGCAGGGTATCGTTTTCAAGGAAACAAGAGCACGAAAACCTTTAGTTTTCCTTGTCCAAAGACTAGCGGAGAAAGGGAGGTGAAAAAAGATGTCATCAGAGCTAAATTTTAATTTTTTTATTTTAACCGTAGCTATTCTCACTGAACATATCACTTGTTTCACCAACACACGAGCATTACGTCAGGCATTATTTCATGCAAATGAAGAGGTGAAGATCATCGCAGGTTCCTTCCCTTGATTCTGAAAATTGACCACCCAAGTATGCTGGGAGAAGAAAACTAAATGGGAAAAAAACAGCAAAAAAAATCTTTTTAAGGACTGACAACAACATGAGTACAACATGACAAGAACCTCGTTGGACATGACAAGAAACTTGCTCTAGAATAAGTAAAACAGTTTTACTTTACACCTAGAAAGGAATAACATCATCTCTGCAATATAGCTGCATTTCAGGAATGGAGACACGTTGGTTCTCAAGTTGAGGGGAAAGGTTACTCAATCAAAGGTACAATTACTGAATTTCTTCTTAAGGCCAGGCAGGAAATTCTTTTAGGTGTTTTTACGGAGCTGTGCAGTCATACAGGCAAATGCCCATATTTTTAGGATTTTCATGATCATTGTCAAGTTATCCAAGTTGCTCTGAGACAGATGTTATTTTCCTGTGGCCCTCACCAATTGATGAAACTCACCCTCCAACTATCTGGAGAAGATTATTCCTAAAGACTTAAAGGTGAACTGTAAACTGTGACAAGTAAAGATGCAGGCAGGACTTATATAAAATTTTAGGGGAGTTCAAAGTAGTTAAGGTTAGAGGCATGGAGTATAAGTATTCGTAGTACTCAAATGCACATACAGACATCTCCTTGCTTCAGTGTAAACTCAAACTTCTCACACTTGTCTTCACAGTCCTCAACTGGCTCAAGAACCACATGTGTCGAACCAGTGACTTGGGCCATCCACACATTGTCAAACGTGCCTTGTGCCTAGCAAATAACAGGAAAGAGTACAGCATGGATAAGTTCAAACAACATCAACAGGACTCTTGTCTCACAATCATTGAACAAATATTGACATACGTACCACCTCTGTCATTATCATTGGCTGAGTGGAACTTTCTGTTATTTCATGGGCTGGTTGTAAGAGATACACCCATTTGTCCAAAGCACCTTCACTATGGATACAGTAAGGGCGAGGAAACATGGATCGTAACAATCTTAAGCCCTGTCCATAGCAAACTTTCCTGAAAAGTATAAAGTATTCTTAGTCAAGGTGTGTTCTTTTTTTCATGAAGAGAGAAACAATGGTGTTTAAACTTATATTAATGAAGCAAACCACTCTACGACAACAGAGGCATAGGTACAATTTTTCATAGGGAGGTCACTCTGAGTCACATCCAGACTACCAACACTACTGTCACGTCATCATCCAAGCTGTGTTTTACGAAAAGCAACATTTTTCATGCATGTAGAGTCATTGAATTTGCCCTTTTTACTTACCTGAAATATAAGGTCCATGTGTTATTGAGTAAAAAAAAAAGGCCATTCAGGATCTACCCCTTACTATGCCCTTTGGCAGATACCAATATAGGTCAAATATTGTACCAATATTGCATGAGTCCAACACCTGTAAATACTGGCAAGGATTACCTTTATACAACCTTCACTGTTTAAACCTTAAACTCTAAGATCCAGTTGGTAATTTTCCCTACTTATTGCTATACTTTTCCTTGCAAATTAGACAAAAAAATTGGTTGTATTCCAAAATAACACCCTGTAGCTGATAACCTTCTCTCACTGTTTTTCTTAAAACCTATTTACAAGATAGCTCATTGGAGTTGTAAGGGGAAGTTATGTGAATGTGAGAGCAATCTTCACAGTAATGAACTCTACTTGAGCAGTAGTGAAAAAATAAGGCCTGAAAAAAAATTCAGGCCTGTATGAAATTTTAAACCATGACCTCTGCAATACCAATGCAGTGCTCTACTAACTGAGCTGACAAGCCAACTGAGAGCTAGTCATTATGTTTGTTCCAAATAAACCCATGAAGTGATGAATAAATGACTGTGAATATGTGAAAATCATAAATGTGAACTGCAGATAAAGACATGAATATGAAAGCAATCTTGCTGAATTTTTTTCAAGCCTTATTTTTCACTACTTCTGAAGTAGTGTTTATTACCACAAAGATTGTTTTCATATTTATGTCTTTAACTGCAGTTCACATATATGATTTTCATATATTCACAGGGAAGTTACATGTTAATCAATTCTGAGAGTTAAGGGTTAAACTATAGTAAAGTTATAAAACTATAGTTAAAAGTTATGTGATCCCCACAGTATACTAACCACCCTATGATTTCTCCATTGGGGTGGTAATGTTTCCAGTTCCCAAGAAATTCTGCTATATTTTGGAGTGATTCATTATTAACTCCATTTTTCCTGAACTCGCATGTATCCTCCACCAGAGCTGCTTGATGGGTATGATAAAATTCCATGAATTTTTCAAAACTGTGCTCGGTATCGCCATAACCAGGCATGTCCCTCACCACAACAGGTGACGCAGTTTCATAAAATCGCTTCTTGAAGGCAGCTTTGGTCAGATTTGCACTGGCTCGGCTGGCAATTGTCTTCACATCACTGCATAGTACACAATCAGGTTTTTCTAGAGAAAACACAATTAAAAAAAATGATAAAAATAAGAATGATGATGATAATGAAAACAGTGCCAGTGTGGATAATGAATGAGTACTGCCAAAAACATTATGGTTTAGAACCAAAACTGACAGGAAGTAGACAAGTTGACTCTTTCATAAAGGGGAGAAGTTTCTAACGAAACTGTGGTACTGTCTTGGTTGGAGAGTATAAAAAGGTGATTTGATATTATCAACTGAGTTGATAATGTAAATTGGACACTGCAGAAAGTTTCAAGGCTGACATTTCAAGCCTTAACACTTTGTAACAGTAAATGACAAAGGGCTAACACTTGAAATGTCAGCTTTGAAACTCTTAACAGTGGGTTAACTTTATATCATCAACTCAGTCGCTAAAACCAAATTACTCTGTTGACTTTTTACTGAGCATAGCAAAGAAACTCAGAGGAAACAGAGAACAAATCTAATGACTGGAGGGATTGAGGGTTTGTAGCTGTGACCAGCAGATTACAAATCCAGTTAGCCAGGCTACCAACAAAATGCAAAATGTAATAAACACATGTAAATAATTGGCTAGAATTCTATTGCAAATGTTACAATCTCACTGACTCCGCTACTGACTACCTATGCTATGATAGATAGCAAGTTAAGTGAGTAGCATGTCCATGAGGTCATAAACAAAATAAAACCAAAAAATAAGCATGCTGTTATTAAGTTTTGAAAAACTTCCTGTGGTATATTTTGATTTGAAAAATTGAGTTCTTTGCCTGCCATTTCTAAGCCTCAAAGTTGACCGGGGCAAGGCTAGAATCAACCATTTAACCCTTTAAATCCTAAGAGCGACTAGCATCAAATTTATCCTTATAACATCACCCTGAATTAAACATCAAGGTCAGGAGAATAAAGGAACTGATCACCAACTAAAGAAGCTCTTGATTGTAAGACAAATTCTCCTTGTCAGCACTGTAGGAAATGTTTAGAGAACAGTATGGAGAATAAGCATACTGATGTTAGATTGTAAAGGGTTAAGCAATAGAGTGCACTTTCTCTTGGTTTACAGACATAATAACCCAGTTGGGATGTTAGAAGAACATAAGAAAAGTTTGAAAATCACAAGCTGGAGCCAAGTGATTTACCAGTCCAATAAATGATGGGTTTTTGACCAATCAAGGTGCTTGTAACACATGATAGAAATCTTAAGTTCATACTCTAATTTAAAAAAAAAAAAAAAAAAAGAAAAAAAAAGTAACTCAAGTAAGTAGTAAAACTACACAAATAATTTACAAAGCTGAGCAAATCAAATGTATTTGATGGTATCATACCTGGAACATATAAAGGGTTGTCAACCATGCAGTCCCAGGCACCCAGCTTTGTAAAGTCGTAGAACTGATGCAAGGGTAACACCACAAAACGAATCATACGTTGCAGCGGATACTGGTAATCAGCAGTCAATTGCCCAATGTACAGTGCAAAGGATGAGTTTGTTACAGAAATCACTGTAAGTGCAGTGTAGAGAAAAATGGGCAACAGCATCACGAACACTGTAATCTTTAAACAGACACTGAAACAACTGCGTTTCTTTGGCTTGGTTTTGCCTCCATTCTTAGAGTCTGAGGAAGATCTTTCTGTAAATGAAGAAATACATTCAGTTTGTGCATTACAGATTTTTTGAGAAGATAGTAAACCTGTTTATAGTTTCTTATCATTATTAGCACAGATATATTGTATCATGTACGTGTTTTTTTGCAACCCTCACACTCAGGATGTTTGTGATGTGTTCAAGTTTGAAATTTGTTATTGTTACATCACAGGAGTATCTTGAGGTAGTATTGAAAGAGAATGCAAAGTTCAAATTCAGTTCACTCAATCTTTTCTACTTCCTATCCCCAAAGATGACTGAGGCCACTTTTTAACTCTTTCAAGTTCTTAACTAGCATCTGAAGTAAGGAATTGAGTAGGCTGAATGATTCCTTAATTCAAGGTGAATAAGAATGAAAGTCATTGAAGTTTAAATTCCTGACAAAGGGCCAACATTCAAAACGTCAGCTTAGGAACTCTTTGCTGTGGTCAATTTACATATCTGCTCAATTGATAAAACCAAATTAATTGTAGGTAAATTTGGACTAAAGACTACCTACTGTGTAGTTCCCCTTTCCCCTAAAAGCAAGATTTTAGCATGACCCCATACTTAATTATGTATACAGTTCTTAGAGAAAGAAAACGATGGCAAAAAAATATTGCCTTTCGGACCACAGCCTTGTTTATTAATAGTTATAGTTGTACGGAAATCTTTCTTTTTTTAGAATGGCCCTTATTTATACACATAAATCTTATTTTAACAACACAGCTTTACTGTGACGTCTTCACGCACGCAGGTGATCTCATGTTGGCTCATTTACTGTACAGTGTGAATATTGCTTCCAAGCATTGTACTGATCAAGCGCTTGATCGACACGAAGTTGGTTCTACCATACATAATATGGTACGACTAATTTCATGCAGATGAAATGCTTGAAATTAAACGTCCTTTTTCACAGAAGTTTCTAAGGATGGCCCATGATCACACTGGAACTGGAATGTAAACAAGGAAGCCTACTCAGTTTTCTTTACTGACTTTTATTTCCCTCACTTTCAGTATGGATTTTTCCCGATATCTCACTTTTTTTTCATTATTTCTAATGAAAAATTAGCCTGCCTTCCGTAATGTTATCGAAAATTTAAAGTTAAGAAGCGTTTGAAGAAAAATAAAGGATATAGACCATTCCAGATGTTATAAAGATAAACGAGGCAGGTTGCAAATTGTACCTCCGAGTGCTCGAAGAATCGCTTCGTCAATTTGTTCTTTGCTGAGACCCCAGTCTTCGCCTTTTTTACGCAGTTCTTCGACTTCTTTTCGAAGAAAGATTCCCGTCACATTATTTGCCATCTTTATCGTTCTTCGTGACCACGATCAGCGATACGAATGAATCCAACACGACTCTCTGATATTCGCTTTCTGTGTGTTGCTCTTTTATAGTATCTTCTGTTTAAAAAACTTATTACTAACAGGGGAGGGCTCATACTGGACATCACTGAAGCCACAGTTGTGACGAACTCGCGCCAGAAATTATACGACGTATTAAAGTATATGAGAAATATTTATTATTCTTTATTTTTTGATTAAGTCACAACTCAAGAAAAATTTTGTAGGAATAATAAGAATTTTCCTATTTTAGATCTCCTCCCCCAAGAAGTTTATATTCCTCTCAAAGCCACGCAGTTTTAAAGCGAGGCTAGGCGCGGACCCTAAGCTCAGGTCAGCTTCTCAAACTTTTTTTATCGAAATTGTGGCACAGCGTACTTTCATTTCTTTTGACGCTCCCATCAATATGGCAGGTGTCGAAGAGCTTTATAAGCAGTTTGGAATCCTTGCTGATGCAAACGAGAAAGCTGGAGAGGTGAGTTAGCTTCACTTTCATGAATACTTTCAATCCAACATGGCGCTGTTTTGTCACGTGGATTTGCATGTCAAATTGTTGTTGTTTTTTAGTTTTTTCACACACTCTTGTCTTAAACAGCACGAGGGAGCCTTTCTTCAAATTTTGGCTGCTGTAAAGGGTTCACAAGCGGAGAAGCGTCTGGCATCACAGTTTATAGCCAGATTTTTCAAGTTCTTTCCCAAGCTGCAGGAGAACGCTATAGATGCTATGCTGGATTTGTGCGAGGATGAAGACAACACAGTAAGACCCTTTAACTCATTGACTCCCAAGATATGAGTAGTGATTATTCATCCCAGCCATAATTAATTTTCTTATTCATTTGCTAGGGATGATTTGGTGTTTATCAGAATATTATGAAATTACTGATATATTACAAGCACTCTGATTGGTCAAAAACCTATAGTTGATTGCATGGGTGATGACAACAGGTGATGACAACAGAAACCTTATCAGTAAGAAAATATGGAAGCAATAGACTGCATTTCTATCGGGTTACCAAATTTATACATTAACCCACTTGGAATGTTGGGAGGACACTTGAAGAAAACTTTTCTTGTGATTTTTTAACCTCCCTCATGGGTTATTAAGTCAAAAAACCAATAGAGAGTGCCATCTGTTACCTAAATATTTTCTTGCAGATAAGTTTTCTATTCTCATCACCTGTTTGTGAGAAAATGCATTCAGATACATGTAGTGTAAAGCAGACCCTCCAATTGCAGAATGTTAAGTTTATAGACTTACAGGTACCATGTAGATTTTTTACTTAGTAAATAAAGTATATTTTGTTTTATATAACCAGATCAGACGCCAGGCCATAAAAGGTCTGCCAGACCTCTGCAAAGACACTCCAGAACACCTGCCAAGAATAGCTGATGTACTTACCCAATTATTGCAGTCAGGTAAGTGTAAGACTGGGTATGTATTGAGTAACATAACAATTTTCTAACTAAATGTATATAAAGGTAGTGATAATTTGAATTAAAGTGGATACGTAAAGTCTACATATTTTTGTCAGGTAACACCCAACAAATATATGCAGTTCTTGTGCTTTTAAATTTATATTGCATTTTTATGAGAATCTTTTGATACAAAAGCTTTTTTTTTATCCTTAATCATTGTTTTGAAAGTTTTCTCAACCCTTAGATCCTGAGAAGTGACCAGCATCTGGTTTCTCCTTACAATATCACTCTGAATCACACATTAAGGTCATGAGATTAAAGGAAACAATTGCCAACTAAAGAAGCTCTTGATTGTTAAACAAATTCTCCTTGTCAGTACCTTAAAAAATGTATAAAGAAAAGTATGGAGAATATGCATACTGATGTTGGGGTGTAAAGGGTTAAAAAGCTAAAGGGGTTTGTATAGTGTGATCTAAACTGTGCCTTGTAAACATTTCTTTCTCAGAGGATCCTGCAGAATTAACAATTGTCAGAAATGCTCTCACATCACTGTTTAAAATGGAACCAAAAGGTAAGTTTTTCAATTAAAATATGTTTTCCCTCTCTCGCTCTACAGTAAGGTTTCAATGCCATTTGAAACTTGACAGTGGTGCTCTAAGATGAAACAAATAAGAAATGTTGCTCCATTGTAAAGTATTAAAAAGGTGAAGCTCTATAGTATGTTATAGTTTGAAATAGAGTTAGATTAAAATTATTTCAGCATTTGTACTTTGTGTTTTCCCATTTGTCAGATGACTTATAATTATTTTTGTACAAAGAAAATTGCAAATAAGTCTAGTTTGACTGACTTGAATTCAATTTTAAACAATTTTGATAACTTTTGATCATCTTATTATTATGTAATTTTTTTCAAACCTCTTTCATGGTCCAGGAACAATTGGAGGACTGTTTTCACAAATTCTCAGTGGAGAGGAAGCATCAAGAGAGAGTGCTATCAAGTTTTTAAGTAGTGCTGTGGAAGAATATGGCAAGAAAGTGTTACATCCCTCACCCGAAACTGAAGAATACTTAGTTGAAGAGATAAAAAAGGTAAGATGGTCAGGCTTGCTTTAACTACAGGTTCTTGGTTAACAATGTTGTATTGGCAGTTAAGAAATTCACATTGATTCACTTTTGTGAAACTTAAATGAAAGTTATTAATGTTAACAACCAGTGAAAAGGTAAATATAGCATCAGAAGGTGTTAGAACTTAAAGTATAAAAACACAGCATTGGTGGATCAAGAGGAACCCCTCCCCTCTTCCCGTCTGTTTTTATTACCACATGTACTTGTCTGACACCAAAATTATTGCAACCACAGGATTGGATGTCACTCCTTAATTTGAAGTATTTCATATTTACTTGTCTCAAAACATTTCCTAAATTATGACTAGAGTGTGTATAAGAAACAAAAAACAAAAAAATCTATTCTGTGTTTTTTACAGTGTAGTTCAAAAGTTGGAAAACCCCCCCCCCCCACTGCCACTGATAATAAAGTGGTTTCATTTTTGCATTTGATTGATTCAGAGGGTTGAACAAGTTTTCTCAACAAGCCATAGAGCATAGTAGAACAACAGAAATGCAATCCTGGATGGCTTTTGACCCTTCTTTGAAAAGTGCTATTACACTTGTACTTATCCCAGTATGAAATGCAGTGGTCAGGGATGATAATCTCTCGGCTAATTAAATGACAGACAGCATGCATATGTATGTTGGTGCCATTATTGAAGAAAGTGGCAAACAACTGCATTGTTTTCATTGTTGTACTGGTCATGATGTTTTCATCCTCCTCATTCTGAGACCACAGCCATTATTTGGATAAACAGGAAGTTCACGTTATCAGATTGTTACTAATTTTGTCTGTTTCTTGTTTTGAAATGATTGACTGTTTCATTGCAGGCTATGGCAGATGTAACTGGTGAGGAATTTCGCACGTTTATGACCATTCTTTCCTCATTAAAAGTTATGGGCAGTGCACACCAAGAACTTGCAGATATAGTTGGAGAACAGGCTGAACTCAGCCAACCATTCCAGGTAAATCTCTACTTTATATCTTGATCCAAGATCTGGGTGTTATACTCAATATAGCCAAATTTAACTTGGTGATACAGGTCTGAAATAAAGTATCACTACAACATGTTAACTTGTAGGTTAAAAGGATTCTGCATCGTAAATGCATATTTAAGACATTATTTATTTCTTAATGGTGATCCTTTCAATCCAACAACAGTTTTAAGTGTGACCAACTGCAGTGTAATTGAATTTGAAGGGTTTTTCACTAAAGATGATATATACATAAATTGTATTCTGATCTACTTTAACTTTCAGCCTGGAGATGCTGATATTGTCGACAGATTCATTTCATGCGCCAGACAAGCAATTCCGTATTTTGTGGTAAGTTCCTAGAAAGTATCACAGCAGAAGAGCCTTGTCTCAGAGTGATTACAACTGTAAGAGGTTTTGAGGTTGACTTCTTTCAGCTGTAGTGCTCCTTTTGTTTTGTATCTGAGGGAAAGTCTAATTGTCAGTTACATAGCAAAGTTTACTATCACTTTGTTAGACTTCCAGACTGAATACAGTCTACTATAGGCTCCAAAAAATACCATTAATACTGTCCTTTTTAAAATTGTAATAAAGCAGTCGGCCTTATGTTGTATGTGTAAGGCAGTTTTAAAGCATCTTGTCGTCATTTTTTGTTTATGGTTTCCAGAGAGAGAGGGAGAGAGTGTGTACCTCTTGTGTCATCAGGGCCATCAGATGGTTTTGATGCAAGGAGGAATTCTAAGGGAATGTTTTCTCTTTTTTTTTTATAGAAAGGAGCTTCAGCCCAGACATTTTTCACTTACTTTGTTGAGAGCGTTTTACCAAAGCTGAATGAGGTAGTCACTTCTGATGGTGAAGATGTCAAGCTAGAGATATTGAAATTGTGTGCAGAAATGTCACCGCATGGTTTGACAGATGAAAATATCAAAGCAGCTATAGAACCTGTCTACAACTTGCTTTTGGTAAGATGTTTCAGAGCTAGTGGCTTTCTGTTCTTGTTTTGGCTAACCATTCAAATGGTATAAATTGCCTGTACCAGGAAGTAAATGTAAAGACTTGACAACCCTCATACCTTTGGAGGTGGAGATAAATTATTGTATCTCAGGGTACAGATACATGTGTCTCTGCGCATTTCATGAAGGTTTTCCTTTGCTTCACCTGTAACCACTTTAACTTCTGAGTTTATTGACAATTTTTGAGGTTTAGGTAGTTAAAAACATGAGTAAATTATCACAAGAGAATCATAAAATTAGTCATTTACATGTAGTTGAAGATTGCAGCAAAGTGTTTACAGTACAGTTGTTTTGTTTTCCTTAGGTCTGTCCCTCATTGCGAGAAAACTATTTTAAACATGAGACCCGATACATGCTTTTATGTGTGAAAATCAAACTGTTTAAGCTATTGATCCTAGATTTTGGCTAAAACTCTCTTGGTCAGCCAGGCTCACAATTGAGAAATAAACTCTGTCAGGGTTGAGTGTCTTGCCATTGGTGAATCATTACTCTGTCATTGCTTTATCCTGAGCCAAGACTGCCAGTGTCCTATCTATGAGCTGCAGTTGGTGGCACAAGCACATGAGATGCTGTAAATGATAATTTTCCCCAAAGAAGACTGATTTTAGAAGTTCCCTTTTAGTTAGGAAGCTTTTCCTCCTTCCTCCCTCCCTCCCTCCCTCCTCCAAATAATGTTGAACTCCCTCTGCCATGTTAGAAAACTCAGAATTGTATGGGAAGGGTTATGTGTAGGTGAACACCATTATATGCAAAGACTTTTTCAATTTCTATAAATAATTTTCTCATTCATAGCAAATTTAAATGCTGGTGGTCACTTTTCATGCGTAGATGATTTTAATTTTCTTTTGACTTGGTTACCAGTGAATGATTGCTGATATTTTTATTGTCTTCAAAAAGTATACCTTGTACAAAATTCATCCACAGGAATACATGCCATTACCTCCTGGTGATGAAGAGGAAAAAAGTGCTGAAGAAAACTCTGAACCAAAGTTCCAATTTTCCTATGTTGAATGCCTTATTTCTACATTTCACCAGCTAGCAAAAAAGGTAAACATGTACACAATGTATGTGTAGCTACCACCAGAGTGATTTTTGTTAAGATTTCCTTGTATTAGCCTGGAGTCTTTTTTAAGACTTAAAAGTGGAATATGGCCATTGGAAATTTGAAATTGGTATGCCATATATCTGTTGCACCTGGTTAGTTTTAATGTTACAGGTGATTTTCACATTTTATGCCCTGGATGGTCAAGGGCAAAATTGTTAAAGACTTATTACTTTGGAATTTGGCTACTGAAGTAGTGGCCTAGTAGTGAAGAGCTGCGTATTCAATCGTATTTTGATCCCTAAGAGCTCCCGTAGTGTTATGGGAGTTTGAGTAAGTGGATAGCTAATGACTAGAAATGCTTTTCATGGAAGATGGTCATTAGTTTGAGTTGGGGCAGAAGCTCGAGTTAGCTAAGTACAATTTGGTAAGGTTCCAGTGTGGTGGATTGGTACAATATAGTTTTAAGTAATACTTCATATTGTATTACTGAAAGTTACTTATTGTTCTCTCCTTCTCTCCCTTAGAACCCAGAGTTTTTGACTGACACAACTGCTGCAGAGCGCCTGAAAGATTTTCGACTGAGGTAAACAATAACAAACCATATATTGTTGTGCTTTATTTTTGTCTAATTGTTGAATAGAACTCACTTTGTAAAACTTCGTTCTCTTAATGGTTCAAATTCTGGTTGATTTTGTTATTGTGATTATTGTTTTATAACTTCAGTGACTTTTCAATTAGGTCAATTGTACAAAAAGTATAACACCAATGTGTTTAAATAATGCTTAGTGGTATCTGACTAGAATTTCAAAATGAACTCGTGTGTTGATTGACAGGGAATGTGTTTGGTAATTCTTGTCCTACAGTATATATATGACAAATGAATCTATACTCGCTGTTATTGGTTATTGAATAAGTGTGTTTCTCTGAACTTTGTATTTTACAGGCTTCAATACTTTGCTCAGGGCTGTCAAGTGTATATAAAACAACTAAGATTATCGCTGCAAGGCAAGACTGGTCCAGCGCTTCAAGAGGAGGAAAATAAAATAAAAATTGTTGCTCTTAGAACGACCACTAACATCAACGCTGTCATCAAGGTATTAACGAATATGAATGTATGGATATCATAAGTGTGAACTGCTGATTAATAATGGTAATCGACAACAGATTGATAATGGAATTTCAAAATCAAACAATCATCACAGTTTGATTTGAAATCACTACTTTCAGACAAAAAGTACATGGCAAAATTCAATTAACATCCATTTTGATCCCTAAATACAGGACTTGGTCATTCAAATATTTTCCTTATAGTTTGAAATTAAATTCACCATTTTTTTGGGGAAAAACAATGGTTGCAAAATTTGGATACAGGAATTAGGATATACAAGCCTTGAAATCTGATGATTGGTTGTTTTGTTTTCAGAGGTTCTTGATTGTTAAAAGCAAAAATCTCAATTCTTGAATAAATCAATTCAGGAAATCAGCTTAGAGAACCACCAGTGATTTCAAAATGGGTAAATAATTGAATATGAGCATCATGAAACACTAGGACAAGTATTGGGTATTAATAGACCTCTAAAGGGACTTAAACCCTTAAAATTTCGCATTAATGTCATGAGAATTGAACCCATTCACCAGCTTAAGGTTCTTGATTGTTAAAAAAATTCTCCTTGTCAGCAACTCAGGAAATGCTTAGAGAACAGTGTGGAGAATAATGATAATCATCATATTCAAGGTATTTAAGCAATTTTTGGAATAATTGTTTTAGGACTTTTTTTGTTTGTTTGTTTGTTTGTTTTTTTTTTTTTTTTCAATGTTCCTTTCCATGTGGTAGCCCTTAGCCTCTCCTTGTAGTTGCAATACATTGTCATGCAAAACGTTACACGCCAGGGTGGGGGCAGGGGGTATTAGCTTGAAATGACAACACTTTTTTGGGACCAGTCAACATAAAAGCTGTGGGTCAGGGAAAGTAATCCGGGATTGCTTTGGTTTTTAGTTTTCTTTTGTCGTTTGTACAGTCCTGTACGCGTAATAGACTTTCGTTCTCCTTGTCCCTACTTTTCCTCATTCATATATAGTATCTTTAAGTGTCTTATAAGTACAACAAGGGTCATGAAATGATGTGTCAAGTTTAGGCGAGGAGTGCACTGCAACCCTTCATCCATTACTTTGTTTCTTTTGTTGTAGGATCTGTTTCACAATCCACCTTCCTTCAAAAGCTCCATTACGTTATCGTGGAAACCACCGGTAAGTAAATTTTTGACACTATTTTTTTTTTCGGTAGCTCGGGTTTAGAATGCATAAGCTTTTGTGACGTGTTTTGACGGTTGATTTTTATCTTATAGGCGAAAACACAAGCGTCGACACTAACATCTCCAAAAGATTCGAAGGACACAGTAGTAGATGAGAAGTAAGTTTGAAAACCTTTTAAAAGAGTATTTTCCCTTAATTTCTTCACGGCTCTTGTAACACCTGCAAATAGACGTAGTCCGCGGCGTTGTTTGTGACCTGATTTGGGCTGGGAGGTACCTCTTTGTTTTGGCTTCAGGGTCAGGCCTACCGTCTAATGTCAGAATTCAGTAACAGAGGTTTGAATAACTTTATCCATAAGCTGCTGCCGATGGTAATATGGGTTACCCCAACCATTTCGTCATGTATTGTAGCAGTTAGGCTTGCTGTGGCCCATTTCTTCGCTTTGTGAATTGTGGGAGAAATGTGTCTTGTCCACTGTGACCTGGCCGGGGCGAGGCTCGATCCTGGACCTTTGGGTACAGAGTCCAGTACGGAGATCATCCCATTTATCACTGTGCCACGGCGCCTTTCACTTCACGGGAAAGAAACAAAACGGATTGCCACATTCCATATCCTTAAATGAGAACATTGAAATCATTCAATATCGTAATATTTTTATAGACAATGATAGCGAACTAGAAATCGCCAAAGCTTCGATGGGGTGGTACTAAGTCCCACTACTGGAGGCTGTCTATAATGACGCGCTAAAACTTGTGTCTTTTTTTTTTTCTCAGGCGAAAACGCGCTGGTATTACGCCAATCAAGTTCGACCTTCCACCCGAGACGAAGTCACCTAAAAAGTCCAAGCCGAGTACAATCTCTGTGTACACTCCCCCCGGTCGCCGAGCAGGAGCGTCCAATGGCGTCGTCAAGGGTCAGACCATGCCTGACGGTGGTAGGGGTCGGGGGTTTCGACAAAGAGGCCGCAACCGGGGGCGAGGGAGGGGCTGGAGAGGAGGCAGATCTTAGATCATTTATTCTAGAACGTCCCACACATGTGAAGTACAGACACCATTTTACTGAAATCATCTTAAGATATTTTTACAGTTGTCTTCGCCAGAAATTGCAACTGACAGAGGACTTGGTCCTGAAAGTTTATTTATGGAGTTGACTATAATAATTGTAATAGTTCTTCCTTTGTTTTAAAAGCTTTTTAATTGACCTTGTGACTTTCAAGGCATGGTTTTACCCCTCTAGGAAACATTCATCTCCGTCTTGTTCGATCAGGGTATTTTTTTTTTCAGCCAGATAACTTCGTGTTCCCCCTAACTCTTATTGCCTGGAAGGGAACTTTTTCCCCTGAGTGGGTGTTTGGGGGAGGGTGGGGAGGGTTGTTTTTGTAACGGAGCATACTTGCGACGATGGAAAACTCACTCTGAAGTAAAGATTGTGTCTTGTCGAGCGTTATTTTTTGATAGAGAGATACTTGAGTTCCTGTATAACAGATATTTCTTTTAAATGCATTGTTTTTCCGAGTGTGAAACTGAGGACACACGAGCTTTACAGATGCTTGTCAGGTGCCTGATCACTCCCAACAAAACAAGCCTTTGGGGCTCCGATTCAGCCTTAGGGTCTTATTCATTATTTGATCTGTAAACTCTTCTTACCCGTGTGATTCAAAGATTCGCAGCTTACCCTGAACGTTTTCTGTGAAACTGTAATTAAAAGCCGTTGTTCCTTTTCTTCCTGTCTTGCGTCTTCATATTTTGCCAGACGAAATGGTTTGCGTTTGTGTCAGGATCCAGAAATCACCATTCCGACGCAAATTTTCTCACTTTGATATCCTTTGCTAACCTCGTTCCCTCGATCCCTTTCGCGCTCGTTCCCATGCTCGCTTCAGGGTGTACGCAGAAGCGAAAGTCTGGAGTCGAATTTCATTGCATGCGGTGTCAATTCGTTCTCTTTCACAACATTTAATTCACACTAAAGCTTCATAAAATGCAATAGCTGGGAGATGAAAGATTTTGAGTGTAGAATTAACAAAAGGGGGAGGGGGTATCTGGGAGTAAGGCTGACCTTGGTAGCAAGGAGATGCGGTATGCTTTCTACTTGGCAGGCATCTTAAAAGTATTCCGTTCGATAAAAAAGTAGAATAATACTCCTCAGATCTCTTACAGAAAGAGGCATGCACTTAGATTTTCTTCATTTGGTTTCTCTCGTCAACAAATAGTTGAGGTGATGAAAACAATTACTACGAGTTAGTTCCTTTTTTTTATGACACGTAAAATTCGCCAAAAAATGAAGAAGAGTTGACCACGCCCTGCCTTCTTGCTCATCTCCTTTTTTTGGGAGACAGCCTATCGTTACCTTGTTGTGACGTCGTGGGGAGTCACTCGAAAACCTCGCAGAGTGGGAAACACTAAAAATCCGAAATCTTAAAAGCTGCTCTTCTATTGTGCGTCTGCTTTGCTTTTACAACATCTACAAAATTTTCCCATATGTTAAAAAAAGAGCCTTGTGCTTAGTTCCTCGTTTGTTTGTGTTTTCAAACCTTGGAAACTGACGCTAAGCATGGACGTTAGGTTCGAAATAAGAGATAACGTTCTTAGTCAGGAAACACTTACGAATGGGAAAATACGTAAAGGACTGACAAGGACTTTAAAAGAAGATTCATGACTTTAACTACACCACACAAGGACTTCAAGTTTACCGACGTCTTTTCTTCACTTCGCCACTGCTGCACCTAACGATTTTCCAGAAACAGTATCTTATTTTCATCTTGTTTATGTCTACCTCGTAATCGTTTAGCTGTTTCAGAAATCATGTGTTATGGTTTCCATAGATTGTGTGAACGAGATATTATTGTTTGTGTTTACGTTAGTATTGTAAAGGTACCACCTGGCAGCCACGAACTTAAACCTGATAAAGTAGAAAAAACCATGATGAAGAACGGCTGTATCAGAGAACATAAGGAGATACCAGACGCCTGGAGACGTCAACGTGGATGTGTATATCGTTTCCTACGGCTACTCTGGTTTTACGTGGAAAATAATATATTTGATACTAACTCTTTAAAATAAAGGAATAAAATCGAAAAATTAAAACAAGAAAAATAAGTCCACAACACCGGAAAATATGCGCAGTCACCCTCCCAAGTAGTAACCACAGCCGAAAGGGCTTACTCCAGTTAGAAGCAAAAGCACGTGACTAACAAGCACATACCTAATTTCCATATCTGACTACGACCACGATCAAGCTACCTTTTTAAGTGGTCTGCCACAGGCATCCCACTTAGTAAGAAAAATATAATGGTGGTCGTATGACCATGACTATTTTCCGGTTTAAAAGAAAAACAATCATGCCGATGCAATTGCTGGTTGTCCGGTGTTAGTATGTACTACACAAAAAAAGTCACGCTTTTCGCGCGCGCATCTTGAATAGCTCGGAAGTGAGTTGCAAGTATCATTTACCTCTGAGAAGTTTGAGAGACAAAATCGCGGATTTAGAGTTTGTTTTCTGGCCAGTTTTCGAAACTTTGACAGAAATTAACCATTTTATGGATCCTTGTGTGTTATATAGTATACCTTTTCCCCTCGGCGTCCGTTGAAGTGGTGAATATTTACCTTGTCGTGGGTGAACAATCGTTTATTGTCCAGTGTCGGAGGCACCTGCCTGTAGTCAGTGTAAGATTTTGATAATGACCACTACACCTTCCTCTATTAGATGGAAAGTTTATTTTAATTTTAAACTTATGACTGATTACAATCGATCGCTTGTTTCTTTGAAAGCGTTTTTTGTTTTTGTTTTTTTTTTGCCTTTCGGACTGTCTTAAACCTTTTATTCCCGCTCTTAGAAGACAGTAGTATTGATCCTGAATTTTCAGGACTGGTCCTCCCCCAAGAAGCGAGTTTTTTCGCTCATTATTTTCCGTCCTCTCACTTTTTCTTCATTCAATAACTCAAGTTTCTTCGTGGTTTTCAAAAGCCTTTTGAGTGGTTTTGTCGGTTTTTTGTACAAAGTACTTGAAGGTGTTACACTGATTGAAGAACAGGAGAACGTGTGATCAATTCAATTTATTTCAGTTACATAAAGCAATTTTAATGAAAAAAAATTCGTTTATCTAAGTCCTTTTGTGAGGTAAAATACTCAAGTTAGCCTGATTGCTCGTGGCTCTTTAACTTGGGTATTCAACGAGACAAACTGAGGACTAACAAGGTTACACAAATCTGTCAAAACCAAAAACCCCATTTTTGCAATGTATAGGCAACAGCAAAAATTTTACGAACAAGGCCACTTTACCTTCGAAGCAGACAACTCACAATAAATGCTTCATTTCCCTCAATAAAAAACGAGGATAACTTTCGTAAATTATGGTAGTAATTGAATTTTCAAGGTTTGCCGACACTGGTTTCTTGATTAGAAAGGCGTTTGATTGAAAAAGGGACTAAGCCGAAATCTGCCTCGGATCAACCTCACTTGTTTGAAAAAGCTCCATCTCGGTGCTTTCGAGCGAAGCTCTAAGAATTCACTTGAGGACGTCTCCTGTTTAAACTGATTATTTCCGGCGAGTGGACTTCAAACACTCGCATTGCATATCATAGATTCACACAAAGTTATTTTATTTGTTATTGATTGTTAGTTATACCCAGCTTGATAATTACCGACAAGTGTGAACAAAGTTGTCAAGAAATATTTTTTCATTTACTTAAACACAGAAGATTAGTAAGAATACTCTGTCAGTATTTTCCTTCTCTTCCTTTTCCTGAGGGAATCGAAAAAGAAAAATCATGACGTGAATGAAGCGTCGCTAGGAAAACAACCTATTTTTCGATAAGAATTTACTTCATCTCTAAAATAAAAGCAGTGTTCTTCACTACATTCATATGTAGATTTTTGCCCCCATTGAAGTACATTCACAAAGCAATTATATTTATACATGATTGAAAATGTTCTTTGTTTGTACAGCCTTAAGTTAGTGTTCGAAAAACGTTCTTGTATTTAGTCCAAGGGCTTGTCATTATCAGCTGACAACAACTCTAGCCGTTCGTGATATAGATCAAGTTGCAATTTTTTGCAAACTCACGAAAAAGTTTGACAAAACTACTCCAATTGTTTGACAGAGCTTGAGAATATGATAAACAACTTTACTGCGTCAAGGTCACCTTGCCGAGCCATGCCAGGAAATTTGTCCTGTTCTGGGCCACAAATACCGCCACCCGAGGATGTTACCTCGCTTCTCTCTTTGCAAGAAATCCTTCACCCGATTTTCACAGTAGTGGAGTTCAGCGTACTCTGTTTCGCTTTCGTAGGCAATCTTTTGATTGTGTTAACGATCCTTTCGAACAAGAAAATGCATAGTCTGGTACATATGTTTCTCCTTAACGTGGCCATCGCAGATTTTTTATTTTCTGTACTGAACATTGCCGGACATGCCCGAGAACATCTATTGCCTGAAAAGGCTCTTAAAGAAACATTTTGCATATCTTACAGACCTATAATGGCGGTACGCTTCGTCGCCTACGCTGTATCAATGTTTTGTCTTACAGCGTTAAGCGTTGAACGCTGCTACATGATATGCTCGCCACTAAGAGCGCAATTTGCAAGTACTGCTGTTGTGAAGAAGCTCAAAGTTTCTGTCATGCTGTTGATTTGGATCATGGCTCTTGCAATATCTGGTCCGTTAGGCCTGTGTCAAGTAACAGTCACCAAGACCTTTGCTATCTTCCTCGCACTCGCCATGCACGTGGTTCCTTTGGTGATCATTACTTTAGTGAATGTTAAGATGATTGTTGCACTGAAACGTAACGCTATCAGCGAGATAAGTGCGATGAACGAGGACACCAGGGGCAGGGTACAAAAGCTGCTGATAACTCTTATCTTGAGCGTTGTAATCTTTTGGAGCCCGTATCATTGCCTGTTCTTATACTTTGTCTTCACTGGGCCACCTTCATCGCCTGTAATGGCGACTAAACTCACTATAGCCAATAGAGTTGGGAACTTTGTGGCTTATTTTAACCCACTTTTCAACGCTCTTATCTATTACATATTTTCCAAGGAATTTCGTACAGGATTGAGCACTTTGTTAGGACGTTTCAGATGCAAGCCTGGAACATCCATAAAAACTTCTAGGCCTTCTAGGCAAGTGATTAGTCGATACAGATCGAGAAAAGATGAACCGCACTTTACCTCAACTACATTGAACGAGATTAATTTTCAACCTGAATATACAACAAAGTCTACAACAACACTAGAAGGGATAACAACACAGTTTTAGCGCATAACAGGCAGTTTCAGCTGTTTGAAGTCAGGCGATCTCAGTGAGATGTGATTGTTGGAAATTTCAAACGGATAAGATATGGTTGGATTACCACCTGTTCACTGATCTTTCGAAGACTTTGCGTGACAATAGATTTTACGCTTCAGCATGCTATATTCGACATTCCAAATGTTTAACAGACCCTTGGAATCTCTCTCCTATTCCCCGACTAGTCACTTCTTGCCTCATCGAAAAGTGATTGGAGCCCTAACCTTGCCCTTGTTTTCGACTTATGGAGACTTAGAACAAACCCAAGGAGCACTGACATTCTTGTATAAAATAATTTTGATATCGTTACAGGAGAACCCGATCTGTTAGTGATGTCGCACCTCTGGATTGGATAAAATAATTCGTGGTGGTGGTATTGATGTTTGGTTAACCAGAGCGATTATTGCTTTGACTATTTTGAATTTACGACTACCTGTATTAGATTTAAGGCCAGCACGGTCAACTGAGTCAATTCAAAAGTTTTCAATGAAATCGCACATAGCTTTTAACAAAAAAAAATTTCAGCAACTGCACGAAGCAGTAAAATGACACGAATTTGACACACTAGCATAACGTAACTAAACAGCTTCACCCTCTGTGATTTGGGGAAATTTCACTTTCCAAAAGCAACATGATTTCCGGCAATGACCAACTGGTGTAGCCTGTTAAAATTTGGACTTATGATGCATGCTAGCCGCCATGAGAACGAGCCGTGATTTACGTTTTTTTAGTCCTTTTTTTTCTCGCTCACCTCGGTATTGCAGCTTCGAATTCGCCTTTCATTTACTGTATAGTGATTCTTCCAATACAAGTCGCTTTTACGGGCACTAGGACCTCTGGGTGAAATAAATTTTACGCTCTCACTCGACCTTTATAGTTTTACTTTTGAAGTTTCCTTTATTGAATTTTCTATGCTTCTGGTTATGTTTCTTTGCCCTAAGAAAGAAAAAACTATAGCTTTTTCGGCCTGTGGTTATAACTGATTTCTTGGATAACGTTTGGATTTGGTGTCACAAGTAGAGTGAAATTGATGCAGTTCGGAGGTCCATTTCGGATCGCGGAAAGTAGGAAGAATGATCGATATTTAAAGAAATCGCCCTTTAATAGACTAACGTGGAAAGTGTTTCATTAACACGCCTTTTCGACGAACTTCAATTTTGAAGTTACGTAGCTATATGCTTCTGTTATAAAACAATGAGGAAGAAAATGATCATATAAATGATGGTTCAGTTTAGACGGAATAATTGTAGATACAAACGCTGATGATGTAAGCGGGAATGATTGTTGTATAACAAGAGATTATCGACTGTTTGTATTCTCTTATATATAATTGAAATATTTACGATGCATTGTAGGTCTCGGTACTAAGACGAGGAGAGCAACACTTATCTGACATTGTAATTCACATTTGAAGGTCATTCATTGACAGTTTTACTTTGGTGAAATAGGGTAACAGGCTGATTAAACTTAATCATCCATGCAAATAATAACTTGCTCCACGAAACGCATATGTTGGAAATGGAAATTTGAATTTGCCGTATGGAAATTGCGGCAACTACACACTACAATTTACGCAATGCAAGGAAGTGGCACAGTCGATTAAGATGACGATCCACAGTGTGGCTAATGGAAGGAATTCTTTGCCCTTCCATATTGTGGTTTCTCGGAAATGCCACAGCAGTCACAACCAACCTGAACGAGACAAACAATGGCGCTACTCGAGATATTTTGTTCTAAAGGGTAAGTTGCATCAAAAGCTCAATACCCACTTGTGCCATTTCCATATATGTCCACCTGTATGGAGCTTTTGGCAAGCACGCAAGGCCACAGGAGTAGGAGGCCCGTATCCCCCCTCTTTTTTGGAAAAAATATCCTCCCCAGATCCCCTGCTGGGATGAGTCCACGGCCCATCATTAAACACCCGGAGCTGTGCTATCCATAGTGCCCCTCAGTTTAAAATTTGTTCCCACGCGCCTGCATGACGCGTACACGGTAAGGTCAATCTGAGATTTTCAAGGTAGACCAAACATAGCAATTAGGGAAAACAATTATGAAACTTCCTGAATCAAAACACAAGCGAACTCCCCGAGGCGCATGAAAACCACGACTGACTAAGTCGTGATTGGTTTTAATTTTACATCTGCTGGTTGAGCGGATGACATAATTTTTCTGGATCAATCCACTTAGTCGAGACAAAGTAAAGGTCCATACAAAAGGGCAAAAATGTGACCAAAAGATTACTCATTGGTATTACGCTTCGTCTTGCTGTTGTCGTCGTTGTTTTTATGTTTTTGCGTTCAGACTGTTTTCAAAATTTGAGGTTTTTGTTCTCTGTTTTATTTTTCCTATATTTATTGCCACAAAAATTAAAATCCTCGACCTGGAAAACTTTTCCCTTAATAGAGAAGAGTTGTTCCGTAAGTTACAACTGCTTCAAAAACATTTTGCAGGAGAAAATAGATAAATATAACGCAGGTAAGAGGGGTATCTTTCCCCGTCTGTTGAGGTACAGGATTCATGTTATCCAGCCTGCAAACACAATCAGCCATGTTTTCATTGTAGTAAAATACGGACATACAGACTGCAGCTCTACGCTTTCAACGACGGATGTACATCATTTCTCTTTCACTGCTTTATGTCCACTGTCAGCAGCAACAACAATTAGCATAATAGTCGTTCTTCAAACCAACCCCTTCGATTTATGAAAGTAATAGCCGGGCAAAGTTTATTTTTATAAACCCAAATTTTCAGTCATAACTTCCCAGCTCAGTTTTTTTGTTTCATTTGTTCAGCAATTAAGTAGAAAGACTGTAGTAAATTTTGTCTGTATCACGAAGAGTTTACGTAAACCTGTAAGCGAACGACGCGCTCGTCTTGCGGACTCTTCAGCCTCTTTACTGACCAGGTTGCTGAAGGTGATCAGAAATTTGAATATTTACTTTCTACGAATAATACTTAGTTTGATTATGAAGTGAAATCAAAATTTTGCTTTTGATAAGTTGACTTTAACAGAACTACGTTGACTATAACAGAGCTAAGTTGTGGAATCGACGATTTAAATATATTCTCTCTATTTGCCTTCTTTACGCGACGTTTAATTTGCATAAAGAAACATGTACAGAGCCGTTAATTAGTGAAGAACGACGATCGGATTGAGATGATGCCAAACCAAAGTAGAAATAAGTCTCAGAACGGTAAGAACGTCACATCTTTTTCATCATGACTTTGTTAATTTTATGACAGATTTAAAGCGAACAATGGATGGTGATTGTGGTTATGACTTTGACCTTTTAGAGCGGTACACCTTCTTCTGAATAACCTATATCAGCATCGAAGAATTCGTCATTCGGACTCGAGAGCAAAATCTTCGAATCTAACAATGTCAAACACTGTGACTTCATTCTCAAGATAGGTGAAGTGCATTTCATGTAAAAAATGTTGACCTTTCCTACGGGATCGATTAAAAATTGTTCACTGAAAGCTTTCTAAAGCCAAATCTGTTTTTAACCTTGATGGCTACCTCTACTCAATTAAAGGAAAACGTTCATTGTTATCTAAACGTAATTTTGCCGTTCCATCGTAACATTCACTCGACAGCTATGTCAGTAGAACAAGTCGCAGTTTCCATTCCGTGCATTTCATATATTTCCAAAACAACGTTTCAAAACATATAGAAAAATAACAATATTCATATGAAATAATTTTCAATCGATATCTATTTTCATGTAAACTTTCACACGTGTTTCAGAGAGTAGTCATGAAACTTAGACGTTTGCTCTATGACGTACTTGGTGGTATATTCCAAAATGTTCCAATGGTGCTTCACCTAGTGAGGAATCACAATTTGCATCATTCTCAAAGTTATAATAATAATCGGTGTCGAGTTTTTTTCATATGAGCGAGAGATGTTTCTTGACCAACTAAGCCGTCACAAATTCGACTCATGCGTTCCGTTTTAAATCACGAATATCAGTAAATTTACCGAAAGTTATCGCGAGGCTACCATTGCTCATTAGTTACAATTCAAACGTTGACAATGACCAACCGCTGTAAAACTCAGGACATTCGATGTCGCACGTGCTGTTCAATTTTTAGTCAGTTATTTTGCTCAGTTTTAAAATTTGCGATGCAAGTGGCGTGTAAAGTGCAAAATACCCGGCAGTGTTCGGCTACTGTCTTGGTTTGGGTTGAAGATGGGGATAACAGTTTTACCAGGTAGAATTTGGCAGTTCGTTTGTCCAATTAAAATCAAGTTGGCGAGTGTGACGATAACACTTTTGGCGGGGACGCACTATAACTACGGCGCAGGAACGGAAAATCGCCACCATTTCCTGGTTTGATCTTACTACGGACGTCAAGGATCAATCTTAGCTCGGTTTTAACCGAAGTTCATTCTAGTTCGTTTTGAACTTTGACATGGAGATCAGTGCGGGTAATAGCGTAAACCTCAACCGACATAGTAATCCATGCAATCACAAAACCTTCACAATGAACTTAAGCATTTTCCATCGAGCACGTGGTTTTATTCTTCTACAAATTTACATTGTTTGACAGAAACAGTAAAGAAGCAAAAAATGTGTCCTTGAAATCCTGCAATTTTTACTTAAATGTTCCAACTGCCATTATAAATCGGAAAACACCAACTAAGAGAAAGGAGATTAAAATTTACAGCTTCCCGAACTAGAAATAAAGTCTCTAATTAAGATAAAGCAACGGAGGAAGTAAAGGTGAGAAACTTAATTAAAATTTCCACTTATTCCCGAGATTGTGGTGTCACGTTGAAGCAAGCGACAGCATGGAAAATTATCCAATGAATAGAATCTAATTGCGAGCGCGAGTTCAGCTGCAACCCTCTCATGAGAACGGCGAATATTCGAGAACGGAGTTGTTACTGCAGATAT